GGACAAAACTTCCAGAGATCAGATAAGTAAAGTAAGGTAGGATTCGTGCTGACTGGTGATTTGTTTGTCTCAGAAACTTTTCAGCTAAACTGACTGACTAGACTAGACTAGACTAGACTAGACTCGCTTAGTTTGTTTGTTGTTAGTTGTTTGTGAACTTGTGTAAAAGTATAAGTTAAATCAAGTATGTTTTATTTAAGTTATCAGTTTGATTTTGTTTCGATTTTGTTTCATCTCACACAACATGCTAGAACAGATGACATGCTCAAGTCAGCTTCCCACTGAACCGTTCTGAACCGTTCAGTGGATCTCCACTGAACCGTTCTGAACCGTTCAGTGGAAATCGGGGCAAAAAACCATGATAGTTCTGAACCGTTCTGAACCGTTCTGAACCGTTCAGGGATCTCCATGTCCACTGAACCGTTCTGAACCGTTCAGTGGGTTTTCACTGAACCGTTCTGAACCGTTCAGGGGATTTCCACTGAACCGTTCTGAACCGTTCAGCAACATGCCTGCGTAGGGTTCACTATATAGTGCCTTCAGCCTAGGAATATCGTACATTATGTAGCGTGTGTTCTATGAGTGCCATGTGCAGTTGTAAGTTGTAAGAGTTATTATTATTAATAGTAGTTATTAGTTATTAAGTTATAAGTTAAATTATAAGTTATAACTTTATAACGTGTAAGTCTAAGTTATAAGCTATGGCCAGCTATGGCTTATACTGTGTAAGTCTACTATATGAGGTATATTATAGTAAATTGGTACGGTCTACGGTATTTACTATACTATATGGTATACATTGTACATCTTATGAACTTTTGTTTGGTCTGCAAATGTCTAATCTGATCGTATTTGTCATACATCGGGCTCACTCAGAAGAACGACGCTGGGATGGATGCGCCAACAACACTCAATGGCTGTGGCTCTGGCAATAGCAGCGGGTAGCTCTGATATGCCGGTGAGAATTTCAATCATGACAGTACAGTTTCATTTTTAGTTTAGAGTGTGGTGCCAGTCGAGTGACAACTGCTTGAAGACAGGGATGAGAACACTGTGTATGCCATGCTACACTCAAATTTCTTCTGAGTCAATCCACCCTTGCCAGCTGAAAAAGAAACATGGAGAAGCAGCCCTTTTGCCTTTTGCATTTTTCAGGTAGTGAGTAGGGGCCAGGTCACATGCATTTTTCACGTGAGGTAGCTAGTTGCAACTTGTAACTTGTAACTGCGAACGATTGCGCCAATGTGTCAATCGCCTGTTCCTTTCAGGGTGCAGTAGAATGCGCGTTGCCTTGGCTTCTGAGTGTCAGAGTCATTGCTAGCAACTTAATTACAGTAGGTTCACAGAATGTGATGCACACGGCCGGCCTAGCCTATGATGAACCAACATTGGAAGAATGGATATTTGGATAATCATATGGCCACATGACATATGGTTCATATGATGATCATTTGATGATTAGTTCTGATCAGATCCAATACGATTTGCTGAGCTGTGTGGCATGGGTGCGGTCCATATGGTTCAACAGTTCAACAGTTCAACAGCTGAAGAGTGGTATGGTGTCAGTCTTGGTTTGCGAGCGGGCTAGATGGCGGCATGCACGAGTTTAAACGGTGACTTCCCGGGTCATTATCAGAAATCTTCATTTCAATGGTATCTAGCAACGTTTGCGTGCCGACTACTTCCACTACTGTTGCACGGACCTTCGGGAAGATCAAAATCTGCCCCCCAGAGAGGGTGCCAAATGAAGAGCTCCCCCCTGTATTTGGGAATGCTTCTTTTGGCCCTTTGAACCAGTTTTTTCCTTGAAGCCTGAACCAGCCAAACATGAGGCCAAGAACTCAAAGAGCAAGCCGACTGAGGGCTGCGTGATTGGCGCAGGAAGGTCTGGGGGAGGGGGTCCTCATTGGCCCCCAGATTCTTTGGAGGGGGCTTTTAAAAGCCCAAACGGGACGCGTCCCATTTGAAAAGCCCAAACGGGCGTTAAGCTGCCATTGCGTTTGCCCGGTGTTCCTTAACAGTTTAGTTTGTTGACGACCCATTGTAAGGAGTGCATCTTGCAGGTCTGCGGAGCCCCTTTCGTTTCAACTCCTTTTAGTAAGGGAGTCTTTGCGTTGCGTGTCAGCTGGGAAAACGGCACATGGAGGTATGGCGTGACGGCGTGAGACTGCAAAGGATTTTGTTCAGCTGTATAACTTTGAAGTGCTCCAGGTTGCAAAACAGGCGCCTTGTCAGTGAGTGCTAAGATGGGTGTGATGGGTACATTGTGAAGTCATCAAGTTGGCTAGCCATAAGCTGCCAGGGTCAAACGCATTCAGATTGTGCTGCGTACTCAGGAGGGTGGGCCCTCACCGCTTGACGCGCTGGTGGATGTGGCACGCGCATGCCTAAGATGTCACTTGCAACATCAGTGAGACTTGATTGTGAGTCGGTGATATTTGCGAGACTGGGTTGCTGGGTGGCTTTTGTTTTTGGGTGAATCATCACTATCTATCAGCATTTGCAATGCTGCACCAACCAAGGTGGCAGTGGGTCCAGCATGGGGGTCTACAAGAAAGGATTCGGAGCGGCGTTCAGCACCTCAATGAAGCTGTGGCATCTGGAGCGGCAAGAATTCTGCCCAGCCCAGGCAGGGTCTCAGGTGGATGGGAGGGTGGTGATGACTTGACTGACACTAGTTGTCAGTTGGCATTGTCGCAAGAGAAGCCATTGTTTGGGAAAGTGGAGTTTCTTGATCTCGGCTCTTGATGTCGGAGGTTCCATTGGGAAAACACTGCAACTTCTCAGTCTTAGTTTTCATGCAATTGTTGGAAGGGCCTTCAGAAGCTGACATGTTGGGCCGGGCGGCCAAACCTTGCAAGTTCGAGACACCTGCAACAACGTCTGACAGAGTGCAGGGGCCACTGGAGCTACTGAACTTGGGCTTGTGCTTCAGAAGTTTGAAACAATGATTGTGGCAGGGGCAAGGGCAACGCGCACACGTGCGGCCAGGCAATCATGGCAGCGCAAGGTTTCAATCCTCGAGACTTTGTTTGGTCAGAGAAGGACTACAAGTTCTTTACACGTCTCGCAGGCGGGCTGACACTTCCATCGGCAGTTCGCAAGTCAGTGTTTGAGCCTTTGAGCCACTTTGAGCCTATTTACCAAAGCTTACAATGATTGTGAACTATGCAATTTTGGGATTGAGATGAGAAGTCACAATAGTGATAGTAATAGTGGTTCAACGATACGACGATACTGATACTGATACTGCGTAGTACTACATGACACGGTGAGCTTGCCCCAGACGTAGATTGTGCCAAACTGTAGGGAGTAGGCAGGGATTCGGGATCAATCAATCAAGACTTCACCTGGGGTTAAAGGTTTTTTTGCCAGGGGCGAAACAACATTGAGGGGAGCGAGCTTCAAATTGCATGGACCGGACCCATCAATCAATCAATCAATCAATCAATCAATCAATCAATCAATCAATCAATCAATCAATCAATCAATCAATCAATCAATCAATCAATCAATCAATGAATCCATCAGTCAGTCAGTCAGTCAATCAATCAATCAATCAATCAATCAATCAATCAATCAATCAATCAATCAATCAATCAATCAATCAATCAATCAATCAAGACGTGGGGTAAAGGTTGTTGTTGCTCCCAAGACTTTTGGGGACAAAAAAGCGGAGCCCTGCACAAAGCGAGGTGAGGTAACGTAATCCAATCTCGCGAATGGTATGGGACTGGGTTCTGTGTTTTTCCATCTGGTGCCTCGGAGTCTTGGTTTTTGCAGTGCTGTACGCAAGAACTGAAACGCTGCCTCTTTGGCCCGTGTAGCAAGTTCGGCTGGCTGCAACTGGAGGTTGGAAAGTGAAAGTGCAAAGAATGTTGCAAACGGTGGTGATGACAGGCAGTGTGGACAGCGCAGTAGCGCAGCGGTAAACGAGCTGCTATACTTGGCAGCGCCTGCCAGCTGCGCCCATGACGGATGCTGAGTCGGGGGCTGATGGCGGAGATTCGGCTTGCAGGCAATGTGGGCAAACGTTTGGTGAGGCGGACATGGATGCTTGGCAAAATTCAAAGTCAGTCATGCGTCTCGGTAGTACGGTCGGTAGGTTGTGTAGACAAAAAGTGGAGTTGAGATGACACCCACACTCTCGCATCAAAGGATTCGCCGGCGGGGAAGGAGGTGACGGTCACTCGCATCAAGCCGCAGAGCTCCAACTGCTCCGGATGCTACTACGTTTGCAGGGGCAGCTTTCCCGGAGTGCCGCTGCACCAGATCCAGCGTTCGATGGAGGAGCATGAGGCTGTGCGGACAAAAGTGATTTGGTGGCAGCATGAGGGGGTTGGCATGATTCCTAGACCATCCTAGACCAACTAGAAGATAAATGCCCAGTGTGTTGGACATGAAATCTTAGGCGAAATCTGAGCGTGCGCCGCGTGTTCCACACACTTGCCAATCAGGTTTCTGGAAAAGAGGCACGAGAAGGTCCAAGAAAAAGCTCTATTTCCATCTCGCAAAGCTCGGCACGAAAAGCTGGACATCAAAGAGCTTGTAAAGAAAAGTGAGACAGACTACATCGACTTCCAGGAGGCCCGATCGAATTGCCCAAACGTGTTGAGCCACGCCGTTCAACGACTATTTGTTTATCAGATTGTCACGATTCACGATTGTCGATTGTCATTAGGGCAGTCAAGTTTACAGCAAAGGCTAGCGACTAGTAGGGTTAGGGTTGGGAGGCTAGGATACTTGTGCACGACGACACAGGGGAAACAAGTGACTGCCCTCAAGACACAGCCCAGCGGCGGCCTGCGCGAATGGAGTATGTTGACATTCAGGATCCAGGAACGTTCAACCTTTCCAGGCGTTTCAGTACACAGCACATTCAATCGCCAGAAGGCCAGGCAAGCACTTTAGAGGCGTGCAATGCTTCACTACATTGAGTCATTGAGGATTCACTTGTTGCCTTGTTGCCTTGATCAAGACACACTGGGTACTCATGACTCATGAGCTTTCAAGGAAAGAGCAAGCAAGGCTGCTGTTTGTGTCACTTGTTTGTTTGCTGGCAGAAAGGCAAGCAGAAATTGTGGCACTGGCAGGTGAGCAAATTGGTCAGCCTCAAGACGTTCTGTGATGATCCCGCCAACAACAAAAAGGGCATCAAGTTCAAGAGCCAGAGTGAACGCAAGCGGTTTGTGAAGGAGACGCTGGGTCTAAAGGTGGTGGTGGACCCACGAACTAACGAGCCAGCTGTTCCAGTGCATGACCACTCCCTCATGCTGGTCGGCCACCGCAAGTCAGCAAAGCGCACCCGGGAAGAGACGGCTGAGGACAAGGGAGCTGCCAAGGAATCGTTTACCAAGGCCAAAGCCGGCTTGGACGTGAAGGTCAACACCAAGGACCGGTGCGAGGGCCCCTCACAGGGGTGAGGCCGGGCCGACTGCAAGTCTAGCAATTTCTTTTGAGGGTTGCGCAGCTTCCAGCAGCGGTAGCAGTGGTGGATAAGTGGTCCCGGTGCTGTTTCTCCCGAGAAGACCTTTTTTTTGGTGTTTGACACGGAGCTCAACTGACAACTATATTCAGAGACTCAGACACCACTATTATAGACAGACTGACAGACTATAATAGACATTGACATAGATGAAAAAAACTGGACCACTGGCCCTTTTCGTTTGAAGCTTCAGCTTGGGTTTATCCAGCGCAAGTGAGTGTGACTGAGCTTGGTGGCGTCCAAGATCACTTCCATGGGTCCATGATCTTGAAGGTCTTTGGGAGGGCTATCGAGAGTTTGACAGTGCTGACCAGGAGGATGTTGCTGCTGCTGTTGGGTCTGATGGAGAAGAGTCTGACAGCGGCAGCTCTGCTAGCAGCAAGAGCTCGGGGAACTCCTCCAAGTCCTCATTTGGCATGCGGTCTGACTCGGAGGAGGGCAAGAAAAAGGGCAAGCGCAAGGCAGCCGGCAAGCTTTCCTCAGCGAAAAAGAAAGCGAAGGGCCAGCAAGAAAAGCTGCCGGCACCAGGGTCTCTTCCCACTGCCAAGCGCAAGCAGGGAAAGCAGAAGGACACGGGCGCTAACACGGTGTGCTTGGCAAGGAAGCAGCTGGAGTTGCTTCAGGAGCTCACAGCCTCTGTCACCCGGCAAGCAAGTTGCAAGATGTTTGGGTTGCTGATTAGATTCATGTATGATAATGTACCATGTAATGTATGATATTAATTTTAATGATATTTGTTTTTTGTTATTTGTTGTTTATTTGTTTGTGTCTCTGTCTGTGTGTGTGTGTGTTTTTGATTGCAATTTCTGACTGTCTTCGTGTTGTGCGTTTTCAGTGCTGTCAGCGTGCATGTGTGTGTGTGTGACTGTGTGCGCGCACGATTGGGTGTGCGGGCGTGGGCGCGTGCGATTATCTTCAATGCTTGCTTTTGCCATGTGTGCTTCGTTTTGCACATGCGTCCGCGTGTGTGTGTGTGTGTGTGCGCGTGTGTTTGTGTGTGTGTGTGTGCGCGTGTGTGTGCGCGTGCCTTACGATTGTCAGATTTTGTCGGTTGGTGTTTGCGAGTGAGTGTGCGTGGGTGCATGGTGCGTGTGTGTGTGTGTGTGTCTCGTGTTTTTGCGTCATGTCACGTCATGTCCATTGTGCGATTGCATCCTTTCTGCTTCTGCTTTGCATCCTTTCTGTTGCTAGCCTGCCCGATTTTTTGCCAAAGGTTGTGTGGAAGAGTGTCATCCGGGCGTCGGAGCTGGACAGGAGGTTGGCAAAGGGCCAGAGCACTGTGGACGAGCTTGAGGGGTTGCAGTCGAACCCTCGCGCAGATGAGGAGACGAAGAAGCTTGCTGAGGAGATGCAGACCAAGATCTTCACCTTGTGCCAGGAGGCAGCGTCAGTTAAGGAGATCTCCCGGGTCATTCGCCAAAGCTCCCCTGCCGACCTTGCCGAGGATGTGCGGTGTGGAGGCAATCTCCGAGAGAATTTCCTTCGGTGCAGCCCCGGCATTTTGGTTGACCACCAGACCTTGACAGAGATGTTGCAGGCCATAGCCAAGAAGCTGGCAGAGGCAGTTTGGCTGATGAGGCAAGTTCCCCTAGCGTTCAAACTAGTGTGGGTGCAATGTTGGTTTGTTGTTTAGTTGCTTACCAGCTTGACCCATAGCCCATGACTTGCAACCTTGTTCCTCTCCTGACGGACAGCTTGGATTGAGGCCCCATCCTCACTTGTGAACTTTGATGGGGCAATTTGATTGACAGCCATGGAAACTTGCCAGCGAACAGTTGCAAACACACATGTTAAGTGAAGTTAAGTGTGTGTGTGTGTGTGTGAGTGCGTGTGTGCAGAGGCTAGGGCTAGCCACGATTGAATCCTGCAACGCCTTGTGTGACGCAATTGGGTCATGCGAGCTTAATAGCCGGCAGCCAACATTACATTTGGTGGCCATGGATAAGAGCTTTCAGCTTGCTGGCACGTCTCAGGTAAGTGCCACCGATGGGGAGAACTTGCACGTGCTCTTCAACTTCTTGGAGTTCAAGAAGGTCCGCTCTGATGAGGGTGATGCCAGGAAGATCCTCAACTTGCAGTACATGGCAGACCTCTGGCCCGACCAGACTAGCCCGGAGCAGCAGCAGCACAAGGTGAGCCTCATCAACATGCTTCTGCGGGTGCAGATCTCGTGCATCACTGACTGCGTCTTCGAGCGGCTGCGCAGCCCTTCAACGGTTTCATGGGCGTTGAAGATGCTGCCCAGAAGGCTTCGCTCGGCAGACTTTGCAGAGCAGAAGAAGTGGTGACTTGTCAGACAGCCAGCGAGCCCTTGTTTTGTGACAAGTGCCACAAGTGACAGAAGCCTTCCCTTTGTGCGCAGGCATTTGTTCAAAGTTCAACCCTTGTTCAAGTAGGTCATCAACCAATCGCTGTAACACACTGACGGCAGAAGATGGCAATTGGGTGGCAGCTTCTGTGCCAGGCAGTTGCGTAGCTAACACAGGTGTGCGTGTGCAGTAAAATGCTTGCTTGGCCAGGTAGTAGCGTGTGCGGGAATTGAAGCTTGAATTGCGAAGTCTGAAGTTGTTCCCTCCCGCATTTCCAAGGCTGCCTACTCCTAGCAAGGAAGTGGTGGGGCTGGATGGTCATGAGAACCAAAGTGGCTACACCAGCGTAGTCATGCAGGACACGCAGCGGATTTTTGCTTGCATGGAGGTGCAGAAGCTAGGCAGCGGCGATGGTGACGTGGATGTGGCGTACCTGTGTTCTGTGGCCAAAGCTTCCTTCAGCCAAAGGGTGGTTCTCCCGATGTCTGCAAGCCAAGAGTGGAGGCAGGGAACTCTTGCACTTTCCCAACCTGCGCTTGGCTCTCCCAATTTACTTGACACGACGCGCGCGTTACAAACATTTGGCGCCTGCCAGCAGGATGCAGTTGATCAGGGCGGAGCACTAGACTAAACCGTTTTAAATGAAGATTGGATCACAGATCAGAGGCAAAGAAGCTGGTAATGATTTGTAATGATTCTTCCAATCGCTCCATGACAACAACAACAACAACAACAACGAGAGATAGTGTGTTTGCGCAGGTTGGCACTCCCTATGATTGCTCTCAGTTTTAGTAGACATGTCTAGCCTAGCCTTAGCCCCATTGTCACAGTGTCATTTTATTTCTTTGATTTGCTAGCCAGACTAGACACATCTAGACATCCTCCACCACAGTTGGTGTATTTTTCCACGCCTCCAAACAACAACTTACTTTGCTTTGTACGAGACTTGCCTCGTGACATGTGGCACTGCGACTTGCCAGAATCTTGGAATATTAATCCATAGTCTAGAGAGTCGAGTCTATAGTCTATAACTTACGTCAGCAACACTGTGTGATTTGGTTGTGATCGGGTGCCTGTTATGGGTGAAGACACCCCCCCAATTCGGCAAGACACCTGGCGCAGGTCGCTATGGCAGAAGGTGCTGGCGCAGCAAAAGCTACAGGCGTCTGCGGGGCTGAGTGTGCAGCAGGCGCAGGACATGATCAAGGGCATCAACACACTGCTCGAAATAGAGGAGAGCCCCGACTTGGAGGCTGAAGATTGTCCCATTGCGAAGCAGATGTCCTCACTGCAGCAGCTGCCTGTCCTCATGGGTGAGCTGAAAGCTGCCCATTCTGTTGCAGGAGCAGAGCGGGTGGCACAGGAGCTCATATCATGCCTGGAGAAGCTACATGGCTGGGTGGACACAGTTGTGTGCCCGGATTTCAGCACGGCTCTGGACGAGGTGACCCAGCTTGCGGACGCGCATTTGGAAGGGCTTGACGACTCGAAGGCCTTGACAGAGTGTGCTGAGGAATTTAGCAACATCGCCCCCGCACCACTGCCGGACTTGGCCTCCCTCATGGACAAAGCATTTCAGCTGAAGTGTGGCTTGGCACCTTTTGGCACTTGTTTTGAGCGCAGGTGACATTGGTAGTGAGGTTGATTGGTAACTATCAGATTGGGATTGCAAACTGACTCTCGGCCCAGATTGTTGACAAAGAGTGTCTTGCGCCAACTTGCTGCATGCTTTCCAAACCCGTTTCGTTGGACTTCAAAAGCCCAGTGTCACGGCGAACTCCCGTCTGCAAGTTTTTATATGCTCGTTGTTGGTTTTGACGGGTGTTGATCGGGGGATAGTAGGGGCAGCAAGACAGGCCCAGATCCCCACATTGAACCCACGCAAGCAGTTGCTCCGTGCCTGTGTTCAGGCTTTGTCATGCAGCACGTGCCCACTGCGAAGTCTGACCGGCTCACGCAGCAGGCAGCTGCAACAATTGTGGATTGGGTGTGCCGCACAGAAATGTTGACAGAGCCCAAGGGTGACAACTTGGCAGGGGCGATTGAGGAGCTGGGCAAGTACACGTTAGATGTGCTCGGCTCCAAATCCTTGGTGCGCTTTCGCGCCACGGTTCAGGACGAGAAGGTGAGCAAGGATGATTTCGCAGCCCTCCCCGCAGCTTGTGACAGTTTGGTCTCCATGGTGGAACGCGTGCAGCTGGTGTGCAGTGCGAAGGTGCTGCATATGATCGCTTGTGGGGACATCAGCAACTTCGAGACGGTCTGCCTACCTAAAAGGCTTCAGCCCATTGCCCACGCCCTTCAGCTGGCAAGCTCTTCGGTTGCACCAAGCGGTTGGCGAGGGAGGGGCAGGGTCGATGGCCTTGTTATTTGTGATTTTGTTTGCTAGTATCTTAGGTCTTAGGGAAACATTTTGCACAGCAAGTATGCAGTATGAATGAATGATGGCAGGATGATCAGGATTCAGGGTGTTTCTGTTGGTTGTACCGGTACCTTTTTTTTGCCCTGCGCTTTCCAAGCGGCGCAGGCAACAGCTCATGGAACAAGCTGCAACCAATTGGACGGATTGACACTAGATTCACGACTGAGGCTTCTAACTTCTAATTTCTAATTCTAAGGTGGCCTTGTAGCTTGCAGGGCCACGGTTGCTCGCCTGTGCTGTCTAGGCAATTGGCCCACGGAGATCAAGTCCATCCAGGACAGCGGGGGCGATGACTTGGCCTTCTTCATTTCCAAGTTGCCTCTCTTCGAATCAGCTCACAGCGCCACCAACAGCGCTCTGATGCAAAAGGTGCAGAACGATGAAGTGCTACACGGCTGCTTGGACCAGTGCGTGACCTACAAGACAAACTTCATCAAGCTGCTCGGGAGGGCGATTGAGGTCACAGAAAAGAGCTTCCTGCCACCGATCAGCGCCTTTATGCAGAAATATGAGGCTGTGACTGAGGCTGTGCAAAAGTGGCAGCTGCAGCCAGTGGAATGGGTCTTCAAAGAGGAGGGAGAGGAACATGTGAAGCAGGATCTGGAGCGTTTCAGAGACGCCAGGCAATCTGCGTTGCAGCCTCCCTGCAGTGCGTTGGGGGATTTGGCGAAGCACGTGACGCAGTGCGACGATTTGAAGAAGCTCCTCACGGCAGCCGAACAAGGAAATGCGAAGATCACTTCCAGCTGTGCAGACGCTTCCCTCCTTGCCACGACCATCATGTTTACTCACCAAGCTCTCGTTGGTGAATCTGTGAGTTTTGACGAAGTGCAAGAACTCACTGCGGCAACCAAAGCTGATTTTGGCTTCGGGACGGAAGCCTTGCCAAGCAAGCTCTTGCAATTGCTGCCGACCAGCAAGGAGCCGGAGAAAAAAGACAAGGAGAGCAAGAGTGACAACAAGGGCAAGAAGAAGGAGAAGAAAAGCAAGAAGGAGGCAGAGCCAAAGCCTTCAAAGCGCAACTTGAGCCCAGACAACAAGGACAAGAAGAGTGGCAGGAAGTCTAAGAAGTAGCACGGACGCCATAGCAGCGCAGCTGCCGGAGCCTGATGGGAGAAAAAATGTTTCCTTGCAGCTGCGCATGCAGTAACTGGAAGAGTCATTGATTTGTGCTTGCTGCCCAAGTGTTTTGTGTTGCACAGCTGTTGACCCAACTCCAACTTATCAGCCATTGATCGCTTGTCAACGAGATGTGTACCCCTGATTCCGGACACTCATATTGAGACTTACTGACTTACTTGTTGAGGTGTGAGGTTAGCTGCCCGACTGGCCTTGTCTGACTCAGATGATTAATGAGCAAATCGCGTGCCGCATGCATGATGGTTTCTGATTGCCACGTGCGCAGGCAACAGCATGACCACTTCGGTGGCGGGGGCTGCGGTGATGGGCCTTCTGCTGTTTGCGCTTGGCCTGGGGCCAGAGGGGAAGCAGCTCGGACAAAGAATGGCAGTCTGGGACGCTGTGTTCAGTTGGAAGCAGTGGCGGAAGAGTTTTGTGAGTAACAGGTCTGTTGTTTTCTTTCCTTCTTTTGCGGGGGTGAGTTTTCTTGCAAGGCAGATCCTGCAGCGCAACCATGGCGTTGGCTGGACGTGGGTGGCATCAGACAATCAAGAGGGCTCTGATGCTGACTCAGCCTCAAGTGCTTCCTTGGCTTCCTTGTCCAGTTCCTCATCATCCCTTTTCCTCCAATCTGAAGCTTCGCCGAAAGTGGCAGACAAGCAGGCAGAGCAGTCCCCTGCTTCCGCGAGCTCAAGCTCAGAGGGGGAGTCTGAGAGCTCAACACTGTCGCTAGGCGCACTGCAGCGGTGAGATGTTAAGGCATGGTTTGGCATGGTTTGGCATGATTTATGATGGATGCTTGAGAACTGCAGCTGATACTTGATGTGCTGAAGCACTAACTCACAGCTTGGAACTTAGGGCTGGCACCCTATGGTGACACACACACATGTTGCCGAACTGTGCCTTTCGCTGCTGTGTTGTAGGTTGCTAGGCCTGAGCAAGTTTTGGCAGAGCCAACTCGCAAAAAGAGAGCACGCAGTGTGCTGGGGAAGAGGGAGAGCTGTTTGGGAGGCTTAGGCCACGAAGACCTCGCAGAGCCCAGGTGTAGTGACATGGAGTCCCCCTTAAATTGCGGTTCCCTTTTGTGGACAGTCTCATTTGTAACTTGCATCACTTGAGTTTGTGAGAGAATGGCTTGCAACCTGGGAGCTTGGACATAATCTCAGACATGATTTCAGACACAACTCCAGACATGACATCAGACATCATAATTGCAGGACTTTCTTGGCACCGTAGAGGCCCACAGAGATAGAGACCAAGTTTTGAAATAAGGTATGTGTCAACAAGTGGGTTTAACTTTAGATTCCCTTCAAACCAACGTGAAAAGAGTACCCTCAACAAGACAAGAATAAGTTGGATGACTTAGTTTGTGTGTTTGGCGGGGGTTCGAATGCTGATCTGCGACAACACTGTTACCCTTACTGGAGCCTAAACTAGTGGTTGATTTATCCATAAGCTAAGGGCTGCGGGAGTAATACCATAGGGTATAATATCGGCCCCTTCGTAAAAACTGGAGGCAGTTACCTTGGAAAACCCTATTTGTCCTCTGGCACTACCATTTTGATCATTGCGAGTACTGTCAAAAGATGTATTACCTGTAAAAGGCTGCTAGTTCGTTGGCACTTTCCTGCAGTCTCCATGACCCTTAAAAAGAGATCCATAGCCCCTTTATTTTGGGTAATGACCAACCATTTTTAAAGGGTCATGGAGACTCCAGGTCATCATTCTTGGTCACAGACTTCGATGTGGCCAAAGCGATATGCAGACCTGGGCCCACAGGCAAGAGCTCCCGCCTCGCAGGCGAGAGCTGCAAGTATGCCGAGCCTAACGATGCAACGGCCCTGTGCATGAAAGAAGTGCCCCAGAGCTAGAGGAGAACTTACAGGGAGTTGGCCGAATTCCAAGGAAATTGATCCATGGATTGTTGTTTGAGCCGAATGATGCTGAATGGGATGGAAAAGGGGTCAAGTCCTATGGAAGACTTCGGCACCACGAACGATGGTCTTGCCGCCAAGTTCGTCTTTTCGCTTCGGTTTGCAGCTGGGTCTGCAACGCCCCAAACCCCAGTTCGAACAGACCTCGCCTAGAGCCATTGACAGTTTGGGCCTCGATAAACCAAGGGCCTTTTGGGGAAAAAGGAAGCCTGTTTGTTCTTACTGGCTGCATTTCAAGGGACGTCCGGGGGCAGCGCTTTGGCTTTGGGACGGCCCGTTTTGCATGGTTTCTGCAAAACCGAGGGAAACAAAACAAGCTCAGCGGTCCGAATCAAGAACAACGAAACAAAATGCCTAGGACCTCCATTGTGATTGTGTGTGTGTTTTCCTTCTTTTTTTCTGCGGAAACCACTCCTTTTTCACTTCTGCGAGCGCTTTCAAATTGGTGAGCACTTGTCCGCAATCATGGAATCTTGGACAATTCTGCAAATTCTGCACTCATGGGTGTTTCGCGAAAAAGCGGAATATGCCGGTCAAAAAGCGGATGTTCCCAGTCTAAAAGCGGATTGTCCTGCCTTCGAACACAAGCATCGCAGATGAGAGGAATCTTTCACATTTCCGGGAAAAGGGACATCTAGTCAAAACCCTGACCAAGGATCTTTTGAATCTGATTTCTGGCAAGTGTGACGGCGCAACAGTCCAATCGAGGCGATTGCAGCAAATCACTTTGCCTAAGTTTCACTGAAAACCGCAGCGAGCATGTCCCATGGCGCTGTCAGATTTGGGTGGCATTTATCGCACCTTTTGAATGGTCAGCAAAATGGCGCAAAAAACGGCAACCCCTCGATAACCGACCCTTACTTTGCTTCCTCGCTCAAACTTATACGATATTTGTCAAACCCACACAAATCTCGCCAAACCCATCAACCAAACCAAATGGCTGAACAGCCGGGCGGTGCCAAGAAGGTAGCACCCCCCAGCCCCCGCAGCCCCAGGCCCAACCCAACCCCTCGTCTCTCTCGGCTCCGGGCGTCAGATCCACCTCCGGACCCTCCAGCAGCCTGGGCAGCGCGTCAGCGGCGCCCGCCACCTTCGGACGGATCTGAGAAGTTGGCTGCTACTGTGGATGGACGAAACTTTGCACCGTTCAGAAACCCTGGAGTGTTGATCCTCCTGCAAAAACCAGCAAACAATGGTTTCAACCATGGTTTCAAAGTGGTGCAGGATTTCGTCCATCCACAGTAGGTCCTCCTGTGGAGAGGTTTCAATTAGAAGAAGACGGTACCCTATTTTTCCTGGTGTTGTCTAGTTTAGTAGGGGAACCCCCCCCCAGAAAAAAAAAAAAAGAGAGGTGAAAGTGCACTACTGGGGGACCTAGGCTGAATGATCTTGCTGGTCCCCAAGACGCGTCATCCAAACTAACATGAATCAGGCTTGGGCCTTGCTTGCTGGTGCGAGAGATGAGGGGAATGAGTTGGAGTGACCCCGATTTAAGATCAATCCGACTGGTGGTTCCTGTAAGGGAATCCCAGATTTCATTCCCAGATCCCTACCTATCGCACCAGCAAGTTACCCCTCCCGCCGATTGACATGGAACCTGACGGGATTTCGTGGACCACATTCCTTCTAAAGGAACCCTCCAAAGTCAGGTTCCATGTCAACTGGTGGGAGGCTACAGTGCCTAAAAAAAATCCATCGCCACTGAATTCGGCTGAATCGCACAAAAAATGCGCTGGCTTCAAAGGATACCTTGAGGGAAACCAAACACGTGGCTAGTGAACTTAATGCAGGAAAACCCCTTGAAAGGAACGCAAAAGGAGAATCGCTTGGTCTTTGGTGCCCTCACTGGCGTGAAAAGCAACCCTTGTCACTTGCGGGGTTGAATTCAAGTATGGATGCAGTAGGTCAAAACTAATGTGAGCCAAAGCTTGGTATTCAAAAGGGGGCAACCGAAATCCATGAGCATTTAGAATCAAAAGGGCTGGAGCTTGCTGCCTCCTGCAGAGAGTTGGTTCATGGTAAAGGGACAAAAAGGGAAACACACATGCATGTTTTCTAGTGAAATGCCCCGCACCCGATTTGTGCAAAGCAATCCCCCAAGGTGAGGAAGGCGGGGCTGTCTCTGTGTCCCTCCAGAACAGGTGCGGGCTTTGGGCAACCCCGTGAATCGAAGGCTGAAAAGGGGTCGAGCCAAAAAGGGAAGGTGCCCTTGGATTGGGTGAAGCAACAAGCCAAGCCCATTCCATATGAGCCAGTCAAAATATCGTGCTCCCGATGGATATGATAAAATATACATATACAGGCCTAACTCAAATCCCCCGTGGCCATGTCCTTCCCAGTGGCAATGCTTGACCGAGCGGATACTAAAAGTACGAGGGCCCAGTGCTTCCAATTGCCATTCTAGAAGGTATCTGCATCTTTGTCCTTCAGGTTGTACATGGCTTACTTTGGTCAATTACCTACGGCAGCTGGATCCCGCGACAATTTCAAGTGATCCTATTCCTTTACCATTGTCAAGTCACCCCCGCAAGTGCCGAGTAAATGGGAAACACTCCTTCCCAGTTTGACCGCCAAACCAGCCAACATCGGAAACACGCTTTCGGGGAACCCCTTTTCGTTGGCAATCCACGGGATACCAAAAGGAAGGCACCCAGTTCAGGGATGTCGCGAAAATCCCATCTTGGTGAGGCTGGTTGAAAGGGAAACCACAAGGCCAATTTCCGCACATCTTAACAGACCCATTACTTTTTGTCCCAAAAAATGGGCGGTTTATCTTTGTGCCGGCTCGGAACAGATCAGTCGTATACATCATTTAACCGCGGCGCTTTCATGAAAAACCGAGGGGTCTCGAGCAAGCCTCTGGCCCGATTCGATGCGCCCTTCCGCACCCCCAGGACGTCGAAGCAGGGGATGGCCACCAGAAAGCCCCGGCGCTCCGCCAGCTGCGTCTCCGCGCTGGTGAGCCTGGCCAAGCCCCACCCATTGCTACAGAGGTCATGGGTGTTTGGGAAAAAATGCCCTCCCTCCCCCTAGCAACTGGAGGGTGCCTGGAACAGAAATTCCTCTTGGAGGGAAAGCCTCTGTCAGATGCCATGGTAGGGAGGGTGGATGGCCCTGGCAAATGGAACCAAACCAGTGGAACCCATACATTTCTAACGAAACTTACCTTCAAAGGACCCTATGCTCACACGTAGTGGCTGGCTTCATTTGGGATGCGGACAGCGTTTCAACGCGTAAAGCAGAGATACGCTTGCTCTTCTTCTTCTTGCGCAGGGCTTTCGCGATTCTTTCCGCCGGATACCCGCAAGTTCACCTCCTCGCTCGTACAGGCCCAGCACGGATATCTCAATCGCGGGGGGCGGATGTCGGCAAGGTACGCGACTGGTTCCTGAGACTGGCAGCTAGCACATTGGTGCCATTTGCCAAGTGAGTGCATTCGCAGCGTGGGATGTGTTGCACCCAGAACGGTGGGTTGGTCTTTTGATAGGATCTTTGTGGGTTGGTCTTTTATGTGGTTTTGTTGTTCGATAGGGAACCCCAAAATGGCCGGTTTTCTTCCCACCAGGAAAGGGTTTCAACCAAAGAACCACACCCGTAGAGGTACTCGATTTGCCCTAGCAAACCACTGGGGCATGGCTATGCCGCTGCACTCCCTGGCTTCTGAAACTATCTGGGTGCAGTGGAGTGCTTGCATCTCTTCTCGAAACTCGTTTTGTGGGCTTGCATTTTCGTGAAGCCACCATCTAGAGGATTTGGACCATGTCACTTTGCTGGGGTCAGTTAGAACTGCTACGATTCGAGGGCATTCAGGCATTGCTGGGCACAGGTGGCCTTTTGGAAAAAAGATGCCCCCACAAGGGACAAAACCCATCTAACCCGGTGCCATCCATGTTTAGCCAAACTAACCTCAAACGGACACCTATGTGTGGGCTTCACTTCGCCCCGGGAAGGGGGGGGGGGCGCCTGAACTCCCTGCAGTTTTCTGGATGCCAAACAGACGGCTATGCCTGGCTAAGCGCGCGACGCCCGGGTCCCGTACAACTTGGCCCCTAGAAAACGCGCTCCTTTTGTGGGCCAACCGGCCGTTCTGGGTCGGTAGGTAAGCCAAACAAAACCCCCATTTCCGGGGCCTCCCACCTGGTGCCAAACCCAAATCCCAAGCTTCTGGAGCTCCAAAACCCGCGGATAGGCTTTCAATTTTTGCGGCTTCGAAAGGGCTTCATTTTGAAGGAATCACCGCCTTGGACAGATTTCCTCAGGGTGCAATGGCAGCCCACATACCGAAGCAGCCTGCCAACTTGAGGCTTGGTCATCTGAGAGCTGAACATTCAGAAGTTGAGTCGCATCTTCTTTGGAGCAATAGACAAATCCCTTGAGCGCCGACTGCTTTTTTGAAGGGAAACCCACTCCAACAAAGTGATGAAAAAAGAAAGGCAGCAGCCAATGGTTTGCCAGAACAACTCGACACAGACCCCGCCCTTCTCTTCCAACTTCACAGCGGCGCCTCTCACACCCGCTGCCCAACCTTCACCAAACTTAAGTCTTCCAAGCCTCGAGGGCTGGAGAAAATCCCACGGCGCACGTTGGCGGAGTTGCCCATCAACAAAATGCATCGTGTCAGTGCAAAAACACGTGTTGACAGAGATGGCTCAAAACGTCTTGCCAGTGCAAGCTGTTGGTTCCAACCCCCCCCCCACTTCCCCGAAAGCCGCCTTTGCAGCACCGCCCGCAGCACGGCCGCGGTGTTCTCCCGAACCTGACGCCGAGAGTCGTTGTGGCCACGGCAACCAAAAAGAAGCGGATCAAGACGAATCCATTAATATATGTGTGTGTGGATGTGTACATGTATCACAATGTATGTGGGTCTCAATGGGTTAGTCGGAAAAAAAAAAAGGAACTTGTTCTTCGCTGCCGTGACCTTCCCATATCCAGCTGCGAACGTGAGCTGCGTCTGAGCCAAGCCCCAAGCGAAGGCCCAGAGCCCCATTCATAAATCTACATGCTCGAGCGCTTTTCAGCTCCTTCCGGTTTCCAAAATAAGCCCTCCACTTGGGAGTGCTTTCCAAATGCAAGGCAACCGAGAGCAACCCTTGAAGAACCATGCATCCTTTATTCCCTCTCCCTCTTCTTGGTAGGAGTTCCAGCCACCTTCGGAACCTCCGCACACGGAAACGCTCCCTGCGAATCCGAACCTCGCCTGCGTGTCACACACGAACCCCCGCAGCGCTGCAAAGTCGATCCTCGTGTCAAATCTCGGAAAGCTCCGCAGTCCGAACAGAGCGTCAATTGCAACTCCAGCGTCCAAAGGAAAGGGACTCATTTGCACTACGTACGCTTACAATGCTTTTGAACGGTGATTCTAACGCAACAGGCCCGACGTTATTCTTCTGGCATGATTCTGGGGGCAATCAAAAAGTGCTTGGAAAACATAGCTGGGAAAGCCAAGTCATTCGGGATACCTCGCAGACTCAAGCAACTAAGTCCAATGCCAAAAAGGGCGACAAAAGATCTCTTGACGAAAGTCTACTCCCAATGCAAAGTCCTTTGCCGCTCCTTTACGCGACCCCTTGGGCGGGGATTTCTGGGGCCGCTGCCACAAGATCTCTTTCAAAGGAGGACATACTTCTGCCTGGGTGGGACGCCCGGAGCCTCACAGGGCCGTTCATGTAGAGGACACTTTCTCGTTTTGCTCTTTCCCGGGGACGGGGGGGTTGCTTGAAGGCAAAAGACAAATAAGACTCCAGTTGCGCGTTTCCAAAAGGTCATAGCCTAGATTGCGGCACATATCGAACGCGACCCGACCCCCAGTATTGCTAGCATGCACAACACCCCGCCAACAATGAAATGTCCCAAAGGTGATGCCAAAAATCGCCAAAAATCAATGGGGAAAACATAGGGAGACAGCTCCCGAGCCTGCTAGCGCAAGGTCCAAACCAACGGCATCTACCAATGCCACTAGGGTAAATCTTGGGGGCAACTCTCTTTGGAATCTGAGCTTCTTGCGCACCCGCAGGGGACATTCAACCCAGGGGGGAACCGTGGCCAACTCAATCGTTTTGAAAACCACCACCAGCCATGAGAACCAAGTCGTTCAAAGGGGTCCGTTCGGGGGCTTCCATGAAATCGCCTGGGGGAGGGTAACACAAAGAACATGGCTCCAAAATGCGCATGGCTGAAAATTCCACCATACGGACCGCAGGTCTTCGTCCGTTTCCCAGGGTTCCCATTCAGGGTACCGGGGTGACCTACTTTTTTTTGACCCACAGACATGGGCTGAAAATGGTCCACCGGCTTCTGCTTCAACCCAAAACGCCCCGCATGGCCGTTTTGCCCTGGGGCCCCCGGCGGCGGCAGCCGGGGCCGCGCCGGGCGCGCCGTGGCGGCGCGGGACCGCACGGAGCGGGCCGGGCTCATGGGCCCGTGCCTGGATCAGTCGCCGCGGCTTTGGGTGGACTGCGGGTCGTCGAAACCCGTGTTTTTTTTTTTTGTGGGGGGGGGGGCATGGACCATGTTTGGGGTGTGAGTCTGGGAACAAACCTGGAGGAAACGACAAGGGCAGGGGGAATTGCAATTATTTGCCTGCAGCTGCGTGGCCCCTAGAATGGTGAGTCCCTACCAGCACAGTTCTTCAGAACGGCTTAGCCCGGTGCCCGTCTACCTCGTGGCTAAAAGTGGTGAACTTTTGCGGTAAATTGTCCCGGTATTCGAAAAACAATTTTGGGGCTGTTGCCACCCACACCGACTCCGGAACTTCCGCACACTATCCGCGCGCTACCGCCCCCAACTACCCCCAAACTGGGGGTAGTCGTATGATTCATCTTTTTCACGAGCATACCAGGTGACGTGCGACCCAAATCGCCCAGTCAAATCTACTACGCCCAAACCGCGCGTTTTGGGACTCACTATCCCCAAAACGGGGGATGTGGCGGTCCCTCCAACGCGGCATGATCAAAGCCGCGAACCAAACTGGCTGCCCAAAAAGCAAAGCTTTGTGGTTCACCTTAAACAAAGATACCGGCGCAAACCAAGCGTTGATGTTCACAAGTTTCAACGTCAAAACTGATAGCAGCGAACCCGGATGAAACACATGCTGCCATGCTGCAGCTCCAGAATTGCCTGGTTTCTGCAGCAGCCATGAGGTGCCCTCGTATAACTCTTATATAATCCTTTCCTAACCCTTATATAACCTGTATATTCTGGGGTGGTAGTCAATGTAGTCTTAGAGCTGAGGATTAATTAGGTTTGTAGGGTAGGCTCAAAGAACGGGTGACTATCAGAAACAAGTCAGAAAAGAATGGGCCCGGAACAGCATAAACCCTACGTGTGTGGTCTAATACTTGCTTGGATCTCTTAAACCGTTTGGAAAGCAGGTAATTAAGCAGGTTAGAACTGGGAAACTGGGACTGGTTGCCTTACAACTTATAGTCATGGTTGAAACCCCCAAATGCTTGTTTGTTTTCTTTGCTTTCTGACTATCCCCCGCTACGGGGCGTACAACCTCATTAAGGACAAACAAACACAGAGGCGGGCAAGTATCGTGCCAAGCCTTTGAAACAACCTCCTTGGTTCCCTTTTAAAGGAAACCCCGAAACCGGCTGTTTAAGCAAATGACTGGGCACACCCTAAAGCCTGGAGTCAGGTTTGCTCCGAGAACGCCCAGGTGGGCCTTGGGCCTTGGCAAGCCAACGTTTCAGGCTGGGAGCAAGCCTTATCAGACGTGGCACCTGACAGGCCGAAATGGATCATCTCTCACACTGCTTATGCCAGGTGCTGGGAAGGGTACTTCAAGGAATGACACCGTCCTACGCAAACAGATGTGGATCATGGTTATATCGGATTCTCCAGGTTTGCCAAGGTGTTGCAGATTAGTTGGTTTGACAGGGGAAATGAATGGGAACATCACCATGTCGGGGGGGGGTTCGACAATATTACCACCAGGAAGGTGCCCAAGACTATCAAAACCCTCCATCATTTGAGTTTCAGCCGGAAATAACATAAATCTTCTCATGTCCCTCCCAAATGAATCATAGACTACAAGTAATTGTCACCAAAGCTCATCTTAGGTCATGAAGCCAGCTAGTCGAGCCCCTAAAATGGGTTTTGTGGGGGGTCTTGGGCAGTGAACCAAAAAAGCTTGCACAGGAGTTCCTCCTAATTAACGACCATTCAAAAACTGAACCCTGGAAAAAAAAAAGAACGAACAAGCTCCAATACCGCCCTCCAGGCCGGGAAAAAAAAGGTCCAACACCGCCCTCCAGGCCGGAAAAGCAAACAAAATAATAATAAAGCGCCAACACCGCCCTCCAGGCCGGGAAAAAACAACACAATAATTAAGCCAACACCGCCCTCCAGGCCGGAAAAGAAAAACAGAAGAAGAAAATAACAACATGCCAACACCGCCCTCCAGGCCGGAAAATAATAATTAAGAAACAAAACAACAACACGAAATAAATTCAAAAACAAAGCACGCCCAGAGCAAAACTCCCCGCTCCGCTTGGCTCCCCTCGGCTCCGCCTGTCCACGGCCTCGCGAGATCCCAGCTGCAGCTCCAAGCCTTCGAGGAACTCGGAACTCGGAACTCGGAACCCGGAACCCGGAGGCTTCCGCCTTGGACCTTGGGCCGGCCATTGAGACCCGTTGAACCAAAAGGTCAGGCCGGCTTTGGACTGAGGGTAAACAATGCGAGGGGGTTGTCACTAAGACTCCAAAGCAGGAACTGGTGGCTAAATCATAAAGCCAAATGTCTTTACCGCCTGATATAACGGGGTTCGGCCATAAGCCGCTAAAACTCCAAAGCAGAAAGAACTAACGCCTGAATATCCTTGGCAGCGGGGTCTTTGATGTTCAACGTACGGGACCCCCCCCAAAAAAACAAAAAGGTGTCACTGTAAACTCGTTTGCTGCTAACGAAAGGCGATCGCCTTTTAGGGCCATGACTTCAAATGGAAACTGGTGAGGGAAGCCGAAGCAACAACACAATCCAACTCTCTTCCCGGGGTTGGCCACTAGGCGCGGCGCAACCTACGCACCATACTAGGCCAGTTGAACTTTGTGTAACATCGATCATTAAGAAACCCGTGCATGGTCTCCATGCCATTTGTGTTTGAAGATCCATCTAAACACCGCATTATTAGGCAATCAGTGTTGATCATGGCCCACAACTAGTGAACCCTTACACGGATGTGTAAGAAAAATTGGGGAACCCAACAAACATGCTGGGTGTCCTTTTGGCTTCCTTTCAACACCAACCAAAGGACACACCCAAATCCAAAGCAGCTTCAAAAGAGACCCAAATCCTTGTCAAGGCTTTTGTACAAGGCCTTGGCTTCCATGGCGCCCATACTCAAACTGAACACTGGGCACATGCCTTCCGGTTCCTTGCGCGGGGAACAAATTTCTGCTGGCCATGATTGGTGGTAACTAGGCAAGCGGGAGGCTCGGGGGTCAACGAGAACCTGAGCTCAATTCATCAAGTTGGTGCCTCCGCGATGGAAGACCCCACCCAAAAAAAGCAGAGGTCCCATGGACCTTGGGAGAGACCCTAATGGTCGGATCGTGACAGTCAAACCCTTTTCAATGCTTTTTTGGAAACAACATCAAAGCAATGACGCTGGCAGAGAAAGGCGGGCACTTCTTGGGGTTGATCGGTTTTAGTGGGGAATCCACACACGAAAAAGGAGCAGGGGTAGCACTGGACTGGGACAATCCCTGGAAACGAGGGCTTCCATGTCCCATTTGCGACAGGGGCCTGGCAACTGAAGCCCAGGTCCCGATGCAAATTTGAAGCATATCTGGGTTTTGGAGGGGACTTCGATGCGCACGCGACTCAGCTTTTCAGAGTGATCCTAACAAGCGAGCTGCGGTGAAGAAACCCCTGTTCAAGTCAAAAAGCCCGACCCGGTGCAGGCAGCTCGCAAAGTCATGGCCTAGTGGCTAGCATGGAAGCTGCCGGAACGCCACACAACCTAAATCTTCCAAAGGGGTCCTGCGAGCTTCAATGCTCATTTGCCTGGGAGAGGCCAGCCTCTGAAGCAGCTTGCTGCAAACCTTCAAAGACCTCAAAGGTTTCACCTGGCCCCTGCCGAGTAAACCGAAAGGAGGAAGTTAGGCGTATACGAGGGGAGGGTAAAAATCAGCCCTGACACATGTTTCAGTGGACCGCGAAATCTTACAACGCCCAGACCTGTGCTTGCCCTTCTGTTGATTGCACAGCTCAAGCTTTAGCATCCCAGCGGGCAACCAGCAACCGGGGACTCGCAAAAAGCCGCCCGGCAAAGGACTCCCAAGTTCGGCCCTAAGTTTGGTCTGACTTCCTTTCACGGCCCAACACACCCCAACTCCAAGCCCACCTAGTGCACTCCACCCACTCGCCGTCCCAGGGCCAATGGCAAACTCACCCCCGAGCTCGGACTCAGTCACTGGCCTCCGGGCACGGATTCCCGCAAGAGCTCGAGCTGTTGGCGTGCCTGCGAAGTAATTTGCGAGGGCGGTGTACCTGTGGTGGGACAACTTCTCTCAGGTGCCATGGTTCATCTTCTATAGGTATACCCTTAGCTTGGCCCATCCGGGGTGCAGCTTTCAGATTCTGTGGCGTATTTAGTCTACCCTCAAGTATGAATTAGTTTTGGAGGAGGCACCGGTGAATTGGTGGTGTGGATTGGTGAGACTTGAACCCGCAGGTTTTTTGAATCAAAAGGGACAGCGGGCAAACTCCCAACCCACCACTCCAAAGCACCTGATAGAGGGAGTTTGTGGGTGGAGGGTGGAATGCGAATCTCAAATCAACGAAACCCTGGGCTGGTCATCCAAGAGGGCCAAACCCAAAAAGGGGCGAAATTAAAAGAGTCATTCGCCTTCTCTTGCATTACTCTACCAATTATACTCAGAGGGTCTATGAACCTTTGGGCTGGTCATCCAAAAGGGTCAAACCCAAACCCAGAAGAGCCATTCACCGGTCACTCACCCATTTCAGATTTCGGATATCCAAGTCACAATCCAACCGTACGAACAGGAGGCCTGGGACAGCCTTTGAGGTGCAAACAAAGCCCCCGTTTTGAGTCGAGTGGGAGAGACCATGGAACAACTGTTGGCATCTGGATGGGAGCAGACTCAAGAGCTTTCCCAGGAAAGCCAGCATGGTAACCCTTGAAAAATGGAATCGCTAGGGTTCAAGGGGGACTCTGGGCATCTTTGACTTGAAAAGACCCCAACTTCCTGGTAGGAACAGACAATTGCGCAAACCCGAAAAGCAAAAACTGCAGGAAATGATGGTGTCGAGAATGCTCCTTTTGGCGGCTGGGGGGGTCCATATCAGAGGCTTGGCCGAAATTTCCGGAGTCTATGGTTCACTTGGAAGGAACCTGGCAACATGGGGGGGACTCACTAAAACTCCCGACCAAAAACCAGTAGACAAAAGCTAATTTTCTCACAGGCTCTCGTGGTCAGAAGCAACTTTAACTGCTCATCCCTGGAAAAAAACAAAACAATATTTCCAGTAGTGCTAGATTCCCTTTGAAACCAACAGGGGAAAAAACAATAAATATTATTAACCAAATGGAAGCCTCTCACAGCAAACCCTCCGCCAGCCACTGACCCCAGCGCATCCAGCGGCCTCTGCCAGCGCGTGCGGCGCCACCGCCACCCCCTGCGAGAGCCTGCGGCTGGCACATTGGGCGGGGCAGCTCTGATTCCGCATTTTTTTCTATAGGGCCATGGGTCAAAATTAAACCAACATGGGTACCCAAAAATGGAACCAAGGACTAAAATGGGAACTCAAAATGGAAAAAAAGGGTATCCTAGTTAATGGAACCCTGGTAAATGGAACCAAGGACTAAAACCTGTGGTCCCCTATGCTTAGATTTTGACCCACACCCATATTAATAATATGGCATCCCTGAATTCAGGTTTTGGAAGTACCTATTGTCTCCATGACCCTTGAAAAATGGTTGGTCATTATACCCAAAATAAAGGGGCCATGGATCCATTTTTGAAGGGTCATGGAGACTCCAGGTACTATATGGCCATGGGTCAAAATCCCGTACCCCAGTGAACATCCCAACCCCCACTAACATCGGTTCTAAAATGGGTGGCGCACCTACCCCAAAGGTACCATTGGTTTCGACCCACAGCCACATGTGGGATCCCTTTTTGTTCCTTTCGGTGAGCCTCGTCCGTGTGACCGTGCCCCTAAGTACAGGACTTTTATCACGGTGAGCTCGTTTTACCGGGTGAGCTCGCCGTATGGCAGTCGATGGGGGGTCCTAGAAGCTAACAAACCTGAGGCGGCGGCAAGGAAATGGCGTCCAGTCCCGCATCCGACAGCCGCACCAGCTCCGCCCACACTGCCTGAAGGGATCTAAGCCCAGTCAACTCAACTGGATGTTTGTGAAGATACAGTAGGGGGCTCCTATGTTTAAAATGATTGGATTCTTTTGTGGCTTCCCTTTTCATTCCAATCAAACGGGAGTCCACCACGTTAAGACACCCTAGTGTTGACCGGGCACGGTTGACAATACTTGACCGCCTGGGTTTGCATCGATCTAACGTTGTGCACGTTGGCCCAAGGTCTGGTCTTGTTTGGCCGGATGGTTTATCCATAAATGGGGCTGACCAGTGAATCCAATTCACCGGTAAACCCAGAAACCCGCAGCAACCCCAGTCAAAAAAAAAGCCACTCGCAGAGCCACGAGAAAGGAACCTTCACCGATTCCCCTTTGCGAGCTCAAATACAGCAGGGCGGCCAATGTTCGATGAATGTGCCAAATGGCCCAAACCCGGCAACAAGCATGCAAAACAGTTTCTCCGTTGAGCAGGTCAATACCCCAATGCACCAGCCGGCTTGGTGGTCTTCATTGAGACCTAAATACTGCCGTCTGACAAAGTCCTGACAGTTCAAATTACCGCACTCTCCAAACGTACGCGGAAGCCGTTTGGCACCGGCCAGATTTTCTCGGATTCCTTTGGAGGCTGCCTGTGGTGCCCTATTCGGGTGGAAAGCCCAACGTGGCACACGACGTCTGGGTCAAGTATTCACAATACCAACACGTCCTTCTATATTAATAAAATAATTATAATCATTTGCACTTGCAAGTGTATTCGTTTCTTCTTTTGACATCTGCTTGTGACTTATGTGCAAAAGCAAGGGCACCTCATGCGATCCAAACCGGAAGACGGGTGTGAGGCTTGCTGACACAGTCCTCTTGGACGCGTGCGGCATCCAGTGAACGCCAGCTTCTCTGAGCCGTTTTTGTCATTCCGTTCAAGCCGGGTTTCGCGGAACCAGAGCCACTGCCTGGCCAGTGAACTGGGTGTGGCTCAAAAATCGGGTAACTCCAAAACGGCTTGCCCTGGAAAAGGAAACAATTGGACTAAAACCTGCGGTCCGATTCCTGGTGTATAATTTTGACCCATACCCACAACTGTGGACATGTCAGGCTGACTTGGCTCAGCTGCAGCTGTGGATGGCAAGAGAGGAGAACATGTCGGCGCGTCGAGAAGCTGTGGCTCACAAGAGTATGGTAACTCAAACCCTGCGAAGAGGTAGCCCAGAAATGCTCTTGTTTGGCCTTGAGGGAAACACCCCCTCAACAGACCGAAAGGGCAACCATTCCCCTGAAACTCCAATGCACCCAGTTGTTCTTTCTTGCGGGCTTTTACATAGTCCCACAAGAAGGAAGCCCAACAACCCATTGAGGTAATGAAACCATTTTCTGTGTCCCCTCTTTTCAATAATTATGCCGAATCCATACAAACAATCCTGTGTTGCATGGCCCACAAAAAAGGGGTGCACAAGAAAAACGTGTGGATTTTGTGCCATATTTCTACCCGAACATTAAATAAGACATGTTTGGACGACGACGGTTAATTGGTGGTGGTGGGGCTTGAACCCCCATGGTCGGCTGTACTAAAAGGGAAAGCGGTGGAACCAAAGTTGCCATCCCTTCACCGGCCGATTCGCCTGCCACGAGCTGCGCTCGCTAGGCTGCCTGTCGTACGTTGGCTTCTCGACAGGGCTCCCTCACTTCTTCTGAATTGGCCAAAATAAGTTATTGGCATCCCTAAGAGCACGGCTCAACACCTTACACTGATATACTGATTGATTCGATGCAAGTGCCCCTCAAAGCGACTGAAAGTCCAGCTGCTGAGTAAGTGTCCAAGAAAGCATGTGTCTAGTCCTCTGCAAATTCACATGGAACTCCAAAAACAACTCGGCCGATTCCCAAAAGGCAGCTCGTATGGATGGTTTGGGGGACCAAAAAGGGCACCTCTGGATGTATACGCCCGCGAAAATCCAGGTGTAGGTCATGGCCACGTTTGCCACCCCCAGTCAATCCTCGTCATTATCTACATTCAAGGGGTCTGTAGCCATACAAATGAGGGAAGCTGGAAGGAGGAGGATTAAAGAGTACTCCCGTGATCTGAGGTGAGCGCCCCCCAAGGAATCAAACAAGGGAAGCCTAAGGGAGGCTGCTTGCCATCTAGGGGACCTCGGCAAGTACAGTCGCCTTTTCGGGCTCTTTGGCAGCTGTTAACTACAGCACTGTATCAAAAATCAATATATAAGAAATTGATCCAATTTCTTAGCAAACGGGGGCAATCAAGAAAGCCCTTTGTAACTTAGCCAAACGGCCACCAATGCTTTTTCTGGCAATGGCAACAGCTGCTTCAAAAGAACACGGTTCCTAAAGCAACCTCCAGCTTCAAAAGCAAAAACAGGTTCGGCCAATCGGGGGAGCGGGGGTTTGCAGGGGAAGTGCCCTGCTCAATTTCTTAGCGGGGAGGGTAAAGGCTCCGAAAGCTCTCCAAAGTTCAGCCTGCGAAGCAGCGCGAGCGTACAGCCTAGTCAATCAAGACAGGGTTAAGAAATTGGCGAAGAAATCCAGCACCCCTGGCTGCAGAGAGTAAAAGCCTCCCTGGGCCTCGACAAGCCGATTTCTTATACAGTGCTCAGGCTGTAGCTAGTTTGAGGTCCATCGCAGGGTGCTGCTGAACCAATGTTGGCACAATGTTGGTCCGCGCTCCGGATTCATCGGAAGTTAACATCCGGGAACCACTTTTCCGGGCAAATAACCGTTGTCTGAACTTCCTTGTTCCGGAAACCGCCATCTTTCGCGAAAATTAACCGCTAAGACCAAAAGGTCTTCTCCTTCATAGCTCAATACAAGGACCTTCCGGACGACTCTCACATATGGCTCCCAGTGAACATCCATGAACATCCCAATCCCAACTGAAATAGGTGGTGCACCTAGCCCCAAAATGGGATCCCAACACGTCGTTGACCCACGGCCAAGTCTTCGTCCCAAGCGGCAAGAGGTCGTAGACCAGTGGAATCGGATCTCGCGCCGAGCGCAGCATCGCCTGGGGGGGGGGACGGGGTGGGGGGGCAGTCCCGCGCTTTGGAGGGGGAAAAATCCGGCCACCAAGTGGGGGTTGATCAGAGAGTCCTTTACCTGAGATGAGTATTGGTTGGAAAACCACCAAGAAGATGCTATTTCCCACTAAATAGGAAAAGCTACCCATGGCAACGTCATTTGGGGCCCGAGAAATATGCTCGTCATTTCCTCAAGGGGCATGTAAAAGGGTTATGTGACAACACCCTCCAGGCACCACCCGCTTTGTAATACGTACGGACCTGTGCAGACGTTTCATTTCCGTTTGTGCACACCCTGGTTGCCCACCCCCAATTGGTGATTGATGAAGTTTCATGAAGACTGAGATAAATCAATTGGTGCAGGATTCCATCCACAGTACACCCTGACCGAGGCCTTATCAGGGGCTCAAGCTAGGTATATGGGATGGGGAGGTTGTGTTTTGCCCCAGATCCAACAAAGATTAAATTGCTTCAAGGACCGCTTTTAGGGCTGTTCGTACATACCCCTACACTTCGGGTAAATGGTCCCTTTCCAAGGCGTTCTGGTGTTCATCCCTATGCTCATTTATGAGTGATACCTATATATAATATTATAAAAGGGGTACCACTCCAATACTTTTACCAAGGGCCATTGGGCCAGATAGCTTTTTATTTGTGATTCGGCTTAAGGGAACCCTCCCACTACCGCCATGATAAACCCAAAGGCTGATTGCATGAACCCCCATGAAGCCCTGATTTGCGGCATTTAACGAAGTGTTAGTTGCGGCTTGATTCAGGAAAGTCGGCCAAAGCATTCAAAACGGCCCCATAGAATCAGCCTTTGAAACACATTGACCTTTTACTTCTTTGGTTTTCTGTCTTTTAGGTCCTTCAAGTACATTCATGAACCTGCAAGGGGAGCTTTTGGGGGGGGGGGGGGGAACTTTGAACCTCTTAATGTCGCCCAATTTGAGGATAACTTGTCCTTGGCTTATCTTGGGAGTATCTAGGGATAGCCCCCCCCCCCCAAAAAAAAAAGGCAAAGGCTACGCGATCAGCAACGAGAATGTGGAAATAGGTTTCCAAGAACCCCCTCAACTGAGTTTGAGACCATTGCATGGTGGAAAGAGTTGTATGCTAAGAAATTACAGGGAGGTCAACCGGGTGTTGGCTGGGAATTGCTCACGACTGAACTAGCTCCTAGACCCTCCAAGTTGGTCCCTTTATCACTGCTTCACTCAAAGGAGCACACCAACACCACACCACCACCCCACCAACACCACCACCCCCCCAACAACTCCCTCCCACCAACACCACCCCGCCCACCCCAACACCACCCCCCCCCCAACAACTCCCTCCCAACAACACCACACCACCACCCCACCAACACCAACCACCCCCAAACCCGAACACACAGCCTGATTTGCTCACTGCGTCAAAAACTTGGCCTCCGCCTGGCCATCCAAACCCAAGGAATTCTCATCTTCCAGCCTGCACCTCCGAGCGCAAGGTCTCGAGCCAGCGCCCGGAGAAGACCTTCGAGAACTTCAGAACCCAGCCCCCCGGCTGTGACACCCTCCCTGGGCTGAGTGGGTTTTAGCAGTTTATCAGTTTACCAATTCATCAGTTTACATGTTTATGAGTTTAGTCAATTCATTCACTTTTGTAGTCCCTTTGAGACTGTTCGATGGATTATCGGATTGACCGCCCCTTTGTGAACGGCTACAGAGCTCCTTGGGGGATACAGCCACCGCCATTGAGGACATGGCAGTGGAAAATGACCCTTTCTGATATTCCAGAGTGTTTAGGACTCCCATCCCCGTAGCTACTTTATCACTTCAAAGGCTTGGATGGTCCAAGTCTTCCACAGCTCGATGTATTGGCTGCTCTGGCCTTGGACAAAAAAAAAGAAGCTCTAGGGGTACCAGCACCAGCTTCACTGGAGAGCCCCTGAGTCCCGCAGATTGTGAATGATAAGAATGCCAGCCCCGGATTGACAAACCTGGCCCATTGACAGAAGGGAATGATGGGGTCAATCGATGCATGTGGATCCTCAAAGTGCATCCTCAGAACTGTTGAGAGTGACATGACTGAGTTTGATCGTGTTCAATCTTCACTGAAGGTACCAATGGCATGGCAAAAGGAGCGGTGAAGCGAAGGCATTGGGTTTCTCAAATGTCAGGGTCGCTCTTTCTGCGGAGCAAAATCCGATCCCAAGGCTCGTTCCGAACCTTAGGGCAGCTCAGATATCCGGGTTGAAAAGACCCCAAGGCAGACATCTGAACATAGACCCAAACAAGGCACTGATTGTCTAGCCGTGAGGTTTGATCAAGTTGTAGCGGTTCGAAGCAACCCTAAGCTCGATGCACATGAAAACCAAGTTCTGCGATACAACGGGAGGGCCTTCCCAAGAACTCTTTCGCCATGTCGAGAAGAGGTTCCTAGAAGTAAAGTGGACGGTTCACCAACTTCCCCTGCCTATTCCCAAAAAAGAAGGGGGAAATCATTGTACACCTGGAAGTTGGAACAAAATCATTGGATGTCACATTGGATGGTTCCGCGGGGCCATCTCCAGGTCAGTGGGCTGAGCCCTCCCGCCACCAATTCTTGCTACGATTCGAAGGGCATTCGGCAGCGTTCCGAAGGAAGTACAGCTAGAACCAATACATTGATTCCCCAAGTAGCCTGAGACCTTATAGAAAGTTTGAGGCCAAATCATCCAAACATATCCAAACTAAAATAGGCTCTCAGCTTAGGCTCAAAAAGTCGCATGGCCTCAACGGAGGTCCCTTGGCCCTGTTCGGACGCTAGCTGTACCTGGAAAGTCTTGTGACTTGACCCGAGGTCGCCAACATGAAAACTGAGGCCCTGCCAACATCAGCTGACACGAAAATACGACAGCTTCTATGCGCATAGCTTCGCCACTCACTCAAGCACGCGCGCCAGCCTATGCAAGCAAACGCGCGCAGCCACACACCCGAGCCTTCCAAACCCGAAGTTGCAGCATGCATCAGTTCCTCCAAGGCTTAGTTATGGACATTCAGCCCAAAGACCTGAAAATGAAAGGTAAACCTTTGGGAGCCGCAGCGAACTTGAGATCAAAAGTCAAGTCCGTCCCGATGAAGGAAACTTGCGCACGTTTGCGCAATATAAAGCCGTTGTTTAATCACCAGACGGCTTTTCATGTGAAAAATCAACAAAAAAAAGAAAAAACAACAACATCCGCATCTCCGACATAGCAGCAAACCCAGTGGCAAAGAATTCAAGGGAAAAGCAGTGTGCCGCTTGTCCAGCGGCCCACGGCAATCCCAACCCGCCTCGGACATGTCAGGGTGCGCGTGAGGGCGCCTCAGTGCCCAGCAAAGGCTCGGGCGGCGACACACACACACACACACACACACATCATGGTGGTAGCGCCTGCATGGCTCCCAAAGCACTAGTTCCCGTGACAAACTCGTTTTCCGCTTGCTTGCAACATGGCTCCTTTCATGGCTCCTTCCAAATCGGCCAAATTTCGTGCTTGAAAGAGGTGGAATGTCGCTGACTGCCCCCCACAAAATGGTCCTGCCCCTATGTGCGATCGTCATCGGAGGAAAACCTCTGTCCATGCGCAATGTGCCAAATTTGTGTTTCGCTCAACGAAGCCTTTTCCCACACAAATGGCTACTTGGCAAGAATGGCTCCAACAGGCGGATACGCCGATTGCTGCTCTCAACGGACTTTAACTCCTGGGCGTTGACGAGGTCAAGAACCGGACTCAAGTGCATCATATTATTGCGCATGTGTCTCTTCTTGGCCAACTCTGCTTGTGTCTAAACTTATAATCATGTCTGAAGTGGGTTCCGAAGTACCCTGCAATCCCATTCTAATTGCCTGGGTCCTTGGGGCAAACACATTTTCGTGGGGGTAGGCAAATGCTCCAGGCCTGAACCCTTGTGAAACTCGAGATGTGTCCTGAACAGAAGAGCCTATTCGATCCTTTCAAGTGCCATCCACATGAAGAAACAAACACCAAATGCACCTTTCCCAAGATCCATCATTTCGTGGGACCACACCCCACGTTAAGCTTCGGCGGCAGTGAAAAAGCATGACAAGATGACGCGTGCCTTGCAAATCAGTACTCCGCGGGTGTGCCCGCGCGGCTTCCTTAGGCTGGCTTACAGGTCATCAGTCGGTGCTTGCAAATGCTGCCACTAGGGACTTCAATGCTGGCACATTTGCCTGGCACCCAGGGAAAACGATTGCCTTAACATGGATGATGGTTCTCCTTGGGTCTGGGGAACAAGGTGCTGCTTCACACAGCCAGTTTGCATCTGTTGAGCGGCCTGGCTTCCTCTTGGTTTCGCTGAAAACGATCAACCAAGACACCTATAGTCTAAATATACTTCGAAGCTTGTCTATATTCCGGTCCGCGGGTGGGCGACGTTCCTTACATGTCTTGGGCTGGTCTCAACGCCAACCTGTGCCCAGAAACTCGGCGGTTGCTCATCCGGCCTAGTGACAGCCCTGAAAGCTGAACCCCCTTCTCGGAAATCGCATAATTTGATCCAAGTTGCCCACGGCACATCAGTGTGTAAAGGATAATATACATATCTGCTAAACACACCTGCTTATTGGGCTGCTCTACATGTATGTTGCGTTGGAACTCAGAATGGACCCGATTTTCCAGCCCAACACCTCCCGGAACCCGGAGGAATCTTTCGCCAGGCCGCTGGACGAAGGGCAGAGCAAAGAGTGGCATCAGCGACTCCTGGCCGCTCACCTGACCAACGCGCCGCCTTTGGACCTTTTCTTTTGTGTCTGCTTTGGGGGTTGGGGGACGGGGGGGGAGGAGGGGCCTGGTAGGGGGTTTGGGTGCGGTGGGGATTTGGTTTTGGTGGGGTAGAGGCAAATTCAAAGATGATTCGTTGTGTGGCAAGGGGAAGAGGACATCTCCAAAAGACTCAAGGTGTCCCCATCTTTTGAGGCTGATGCCCCAGTAGGTCCAAGGCGCTACTCCACAGAGCAAAAGCCTTCGCTGGCCACTGGTTTTAATTACGTTCCAAAAGATTCGAAATGGAAGGAACCTGCTTGATTTCCTCACAGGTAAGTGGATCTGAGATTCTGAGGATCCAATGATCCACCCCCACCCTCCACTACACCCCAGACACCACACAGGTGTCCCCCAAGAGTTGACGAGTTGACAAGGAGGACAAGAGGGGCGGGGAGGTTGGATCCTAGCCACTCGTATCTGAAAATGGGGAAAAAAGGTGCCATGTCCTTATAATTCCAACAAAAACGTGCAACGTGGGTACGACTCTTCATTGGGCCCATCGGACATAATTTCCAAAATGGAAATCTACGTTCACCAAGGATTGAGGGTGTTCACAACTGAGATTCATCGCTGTCCCCCAACGAGCGTTTCCATTTACCGGTGGGTTGCCAGTGGCACTTCTGGAGCTGCGAAAGGAGGAAGTTGAGGGACCCTGAGGACGCTGACTTTCCATGTTATTCCATTTTACGTGTCGCTGTCTCATGTTGAACTGGCGAGGCTTGTTTGCTCTGCACGGAAGCCCCGTTTCAAAAGCCTCTCGCACTGGTGCTTCCGCATGCTCATCTGGATTTCTTTTGTTGAGATTACCGTTGTTAATGGGGAACGGCGGAGTTCCCGATTGCGAGTCACCTTTACCCCAAAAACCTTTTGTTGGCCACTAAAATGGTCTTCCCAAAAAGCAGAAAGCCCACTTCAGGGCGTTAGGCTAGGTTAACAAGGGAGACTGGTTTCATCTGGTTTCAGCAGGCAGCGGTTTTATGTCGTTTCGCATTGCTTCCCCATGGCTAGTTGGTGGTGACCCCTTGTCTGGCTCGGCTCGTTGGGGTCAAAAAGCTTCCCAACCACTGCTCAATAACAGACAAAAGGACTCCCAAGTTATAACAACAAGGGTTTCCCCACAGGGTTTCACAACAATAGCTAACTTGAGAGCTGGAGGGAATGTCTTTTAAGCCACCTTACATGTTTCCACTGATTAACCCTTTTTTCCCCAACAGCCGGACAACGGAAGGGTTGCGAAATAATAGGTGTCCCCGTTTAATGGGGATTCAGACCACTTTTGAACATCCCGGGTTTATTAATCTCGGTTGCTTTCTGCTCCCCTGCTAAAAGTTTAACTTTTAGTGGTTTAATACGGAAAACCCCCATTTGTTGGCCAAAAGTTATTCAGTCCTAACATCCCTTGGCAAAATGCACCAAAGTGATCCTGGGTCATTAAGGGAAACCGGGAACCCAGCTCCGTCCGAACATCCGCCTCATCCTGGCCGCGCTCGCTGAGGAAGCCGCGGAAGGCTTCCAGATCCTGGACCACACATCCGATCCGATCGGTTGCTGGGCGATGCCCCCAGTATTCATAGGGGTTCACCCATAGCGCATTTGTTTTGGGTTTCTGTGTGTGTGTGTGCGCGTTTTTGTTTGCTTGCTGTTGTTTTTTGTTTCCTCTTTGTTGTTGGTTGTTTTCCGTCAGTAGCAGGTGTCCAACCACAAAGCAAGAATGGCTTTGACAAGCTCGTAGGGGGCATCCTCCAGAATGGCCTGTGGATACAATCCCATGCAATGCAAATCATGTCAAAGTTGGCCTATTCAGGCCTAGCCCCCTTTGCTTACTGGGATACTTTGGGGGGCGAGCCCATTCAATCATTCTGAGCACTATGTAGATCTAGAGGGTACTTTTACAGCAGTCGACCTGCCTCAAAGCACCTTCCCGCGCCGATGGAAGGTGATCTTGTTCCTCTAGGGGGTGACTGGTAGCCGTTCTTAACCCATCCGGATCTTTCTAGAACAACCAAGTTGAAAAGAATACAAACAAATCCAAATTCCAAAACTTGAAAACTAAATATTTTGCCGCCGGATGAGCTCACATCAAAATAGGCAGACCTAATACCCCAGAAGGGGCCGGTTTCGGAGAAGAAAAAAAGAGAGCTACAGTTGTGCCATGGTCAAACTCCGCCGAGTGTGGGCCATAGTCATCATTGCCTCCATGGGTATTCGTACAATCGGACCTGACCTGTTGAGTTTGCTGGCCAAACAAGTCTAAGTGACTATGCTTGCTTGCCTTGGCTTAAATGATGGGAGGGACTCCACCAGCAAAACGTTTGAAGTTTGTCGACTCAACAGGTAAGGTGCAATTCTTCCGCCCTTGGTTCTAGTTTAAACACCCCGCTCCATTTTGTCCCTGGTGCTTGCCTTTTTCTGAAAGAAAGGCTCCCTGTAAAACATGTGGCGGGGAGTGGTGAATCACTGCTGCTTGGCGGCAAAGATGGTCAACACCCAGAAGACGTCCCCCCCTTCCTACCAGATTAGACCATTGCTTACTGGGTCCATTGGAGCATCCTCAACATGACCCTCAGAAAAGTCGTGTAAAGGCCAACAGTTTTGAAGGCCCCAAATGGTTTCCTCTGGCCCTGCTGGCTCCTTAAATATCAACCCAAAAGAAACTGACAAAACTTGGCTCAAAAGATTGTCAAATGCAAAACTGCGACAGATGGATGGGCTAAATAAAACTGGAAAACTTGCTCAAACTTCCATCTGTTGCTGAAAAGATTGAAAACTGCAACAGATGGAAAAAGTACCCTCAACTCTTCTTGGCCAGCAACGTAGGCCTTAAATCGCACTCGCGTTGCCGTTCCGCCTGCAGCTCTGCAGCGCTAGGCTCGCGGCCCTCCTGGCAAGGAAGCCGCGAGCGAGCCGCGAGCCGGGACAAGAACATGAGAAAACGCATCCCGGCTTTCCAACAGCCCGTTGATCTTGCTGGCGCGATGGGCAGGGAATGAGAAATGGAATGACCCTTACAAACATCCCTTGTGGTTTCAACCGGAATCCAACTGGTGGTTTCCTTTCATGAGAATGCTGGGTTCATTCCATTTCTCATTCCCTACTGAGCACCAGCAAGTTATTCATGGCATCTTATAAGCACGAGGGCTCAGGCGTCAGACTTCCAAGGTCGAGTGATGTCGATTTGAGGTTTAGAGCTTGGGGTTCCCAAAGGCCGGCCCTGCAAGAACGAGCCCGCTTGGTGTATGTGGGCATCGTTGAAACACACATCTTCTGATTTCAGTGTGCAAATAAGTCTCAACTCATGAGTCCTCCAAAGAGCTTTGGCCAAAGAAACTCTTGCGTCTGAAGCAGTCAATCAATGCCTTGCACCAGTTGTAGCTTTTCCAAATTCAAGTAGCTCGTCAATCGGCTTGTGTGATCTCAAAAGCTCGAGCAGGGTTGGGCTGAGGCAGCCATGCGATCGTCGTTGCTCTGCATTGCTGTTGGGTGAAATGTGATGTTCTGCAGGGGGTGAATTTCGGGTGAAGAAGTTACCCCCCCCCCCACCAACAAGCGTGGCTTGGTGTACGACATGAACACGACACTAAGAGGAAAACTGTCAAATCCACTGTGCACTAGGATGCCTAGAAATATCTGCCCTCTTCTTTTACACCTCCTATCGCAGTTTTGTCTCAAAAAGAGGGTCCCCATAAAGGATACGACCCGTTTGGCTTGGCCTTACCAACCAAAACTGAATCCTTGAAATCGGACAAGCATTCCTAACAGCTGGCTGCCATGGCTCTATTTTCTGAGGACCACCAACCGCGGAGCCGACTCCCAGAGCATTTTGATTGACCCTGAGAACTTCTGTGAGGGCGTTCTGAGGGGGTGCTTTTGCATTAAAAGCTCGGGCACCTTGGTTGGGAAAGGTGTGCGGTGCTTCCCTTCAGATAAATGGAAGGGATCAAGCAACATCCATGTTTAGAGCAATCTCCCCTTTTGAGGTTCCTTGTTTATTTGCAGGGGTAGGCGTTTAAGGCTGGATGTTTGATTGACATCATAGTGAAACTAAAAATGCTTTGCTGTGTTCCCTGCTTTTCTACTTGCATAACAGCCACAACCGCTCGTGAACATGTTGTCAAACATTGTTACCAAAATGACTTGTAAAATAACATGGAGTGTGGGTGCTTGCACGTGTTGGCAATCAAAGCGTGGGGCCCATGTGGTCAAGCTTGCTTTCAAGTCTGCCCGATTTGAAACTCACTCGCCCCCCATCACGTGGAGACTCAATCACAAAGTTTGACCTAACACCCAAGGAAGTAAGTATAAATTCCCATTCCCCATGGGTGGGCAATAAAATCAGCAGCCCTTGGTAGAAACGGCGCGATGCACATCTACCGCTAAACTGGTTGTCTCCTGCAAAGCCTCTCGCGCGCGGAAGATTGCGAAGTGCGCCTCGCAAAGACTTCGTAGAATATTTCCTTGGGTCACCCATGGGCTCCAACAAATGGAGCCTATGATACACACATTGTCCTTCGGTGACGCTGGAAATTCAGGTGCTTCCAGGAAGAGCTTGAAAGGAACCTTCTGTGAGGGGGTTCTCATCGAAGGGCGGAGGGATAGGGGAGGGGTAGGGGGGCCCGAATGTCTTGCGGGCCTCATGGCTGTTGGCGTACGGAACACGAGTAAGTTTGCTTGAGAAAAAAAGAGGCAGCCTTGTGGCTTCCTTTTCTGGAGGTAGCTGTCAACCTTCAGGACCCATTCAGTTTAGGGGCCCCAGGGCCACCTCATTTAGGCTATCTGCTTCCGGGCCCATTCAGTTTAGGGGCCCATCACTCCCATCCAATGCTGGGATCTACTCTGCGCATACGCTTGGCTAACTTAGTTTAGGGTTTCTCCAGTCACGGAAAAAGGGCTCCCCTTGTTGGTCGTTGATTGGGGACAAGAGGCACCGAGCCACTCCTCCACGAGCCTGCCCGAACAGGGCGCCCTTTTTTACCTTCCCCCGCCCCGTTTACCATCACCCAGTGGACCACAGAGTAAGTCATGCTCAATTGGCTCCCAAAAGGTGATAGCTAAAGCCAACAAAAGGGGAAACGTAGGGAAACCTGCCAAACCTTACGGCCAGGTATCCCATTCCAACTGCAGAGTAGTCAAAAACAACACTAGAAAAGGGCAATGGCAATAATGAAATGAGGACCCCTGCAAAGACAAGGGAAACAAGGACTCCTATCTTCTAAACAACACCATACACACCCAATTGGGGCTCGGTTAGCACTGCTTTTGCACATTCCTAGATAAGAATCCCCTGGTGAAGCCTGGTGAGCAACACAAACTCTAGATCCAGCACCTCCAAGATCGCAGGGCTCCCCTCTTAAATAAGACACCTCGCCATGAAAATCAACGGGTAGAATACGAATCCTGGGTACAGCTCCCCCTGAAAATACGGTGGTGTCCTTTGGTTTCCTCTTCCGAAACACGCCTCCACCTTGAGAGCCCCCTTTCTGTTTTGAAGCCATCCAAAGCGATACTAGATTCGACATGTCTGCCAAGCCATTCACTTCATAGCTGTTGACCCCTCTGCAAGAAGCTTAACTTGTTGTTTTCGTCCCATGGAGGACCCACTGTTTCAACAAGAAAACTAAAGTCCAAAGATTTGTTTCAAGCCAAAAAATCAAAGTCCCAAGACCCATAAAGAAAAACGGGGGTTTAGGGCCCTCCTAACCCCCCCCACCCCCCACCCCCCCAACCCCCCTCAGCCCCCTAACCCCCCTAACCCCCTAACCCCCCTAACTCCCAAACCCCCCCCTAGCCCTTCAAAGGGAAAGGCGGTTCCCCCAAGGTCGGCACATCCGCCCCCACGACCCCCGCCCGGCTCCCTCCTCGGGTGGCCGGCTCCCGCCTGGAGCTTCAGCTGCAGGGCGCGACCCTCCGGGCAGCTCTGGCGCTCACAAGGCACCACGCGCTGCCACGCCGCGCTGCGCAGGCCGTGGGGGGGGGTGGTGGGGGTGGGGGTGGTGGGGGGTGGGGTTGGTATGGGGCCCAAGGGGTTGGTTAGGGGGGGAAGTTGGAAGGCTTGGAAAGGGGTTGAGGGCGTGATTGGGTCTGTTGCGCCAACTACTTCTTGTAGGGGTCTTGTGAGTCCCCAAACCACTGCGAAGGAGTCTTCCAGCATAATGACGAGGGAACGTGCACCGATAAATTGCACAAAAGACCTTGCCACGGAGAAATGCACACAAAATGACCAGAGTAGCTCGACTGTCGGATTGGGCCGAAGTCACCATGATTGAGACTATCACCACATCCACGCAAAGGGACAAACAGGACATGCATGAACTCTCCTGAGCAGCGTACACCCGTTTAGTGTTGAAAGTTTCTTATGCAGGCTCGCTCTATAGCCTATAGCCCCAGAGAAAACGAGGAAGCCCAACCCTTCACGCTATAGTTCACCGACTTTCATCACGAGGGCGTAGAGTTGTTTCCCCACAACTTGCGTGATCGCTATACTTCGTCCAAAGTAAGGGACGCCCGCAATAAAACACAGGTGTTTCCCTAGGTGTTGGTTTCCCTTTGAAACTACCTGCACCTGACATGCCAGCCATTGACAGCAGGGCACCTCGAAGTTTCCGAAAAGAGGTTTCGTGGGTAACTGCAAGCTACTTCCACTTTTCGGAGATCCCAACTCCTAAACCCTTTGGGGCCATGGACCAAGCTCGAAGACCAAGAGCAGAAATTTGTCCCTGCACGTAGCTTGCGATGAGATAAGTTGTGTTGTCCCACAACACTTTGCTTTCAAAGGAGACCAACATGAATAACACGCGTCACGGAACCATTTGAAGGCATTTCTGCTTCGGCGCGTGCCCAGAATGGCGACCACCGCCCAACCTGCGAGCCCTTCGACTCCCAACCTGTCGCGCCTGAATGCCTCACGCGCGCCCAGGTCGAAATGGCCCAGCACCTCCTGCGAGCAAAACATCCCAAGCGAAATGCGAGTGTCTTTCTTGAGGTACCCCAGAAACAGGGAAACCACAAGAAAAGCCACCAATTTTGAGGGTCCCCTATTTCGAAATGGGTTTTCTCGCTGGTCATCAACGAAGGGTCCGACCAGCTGCAACATGTTGGTCCCCCTAAAGACACCAAGCTAGATTTGTGATATTTCCGTGTTTGTGTGTGTTCTTCTTCTTTTTTTGAGCGCGGGGGGAGTATCTTATTTCAAAAGTTCAACATGCCCCCAGTAGCATTGGATAACGCTAGCAAAGCAGACGCTGTGCATCCCCTTGGCATTATCCCGCTCGCTGCCGGTAGTTTCTGTATGGCTAAGTCAGTCAAGAAACTCATCGCGGTCTTGGTGAAAGTTACATTCTATTGCCTTGGTATACGTTTTCTGCACTCTTGCGCGAGGTAGAGCCCTACACACACACACACATTCTCCATTGTAAACGGAGACCGTCAGCCGCAACGAAAAAAACAAAACCAGTCAGTGAAACCATGTCAGCGGGGAGCAAGTGCTCCTTCCACTGACTTTTAAGCACGGTGCGGCCGGGCATGTTTGCAATACCGTCTATTTTTCTTTGGAGGGTTCCAGAGACAAACCCATGCGTTTCGTTAACGCTCTGCTCCAACAAGATCCGTTTTTGAATGAGCTGCTGACCGTTTTACAGACCTCCGGTGGGTGCCCAGGAGAACAAAGGTCCGCATTGTGTGGTTGAACTTTGAAGTTGAAATCAGTACAAAAGACGGGAAAGGCAAACACCACTGTAATTGGGTCCGGATTGGGAAAGGCCAGTCGTGGTTATAACTAGTTAACCAGACAGAAGCCATGGGTGTAAGGCCTGGTTTTGCGGGGTTAGAACCAGGAAGACTAGCCATGTCGGTGGTCGATTTTTGATGGCAAGCCGCTGCCGAGACAGGCAAAAACTGGGCCAACAAAAAGAGCACGGCCAAGCCCGAACAAGAAACAAACTGGTCCGGACTCAGCCCTCAACAAACCCGTTGGCTAAACGGAAAATGAGGGAAGAAAACAAAAAGGCAAAGAGTCCAAAATGTGAGTTCCGTCCGGCAGACCACCCACAAGCCCAAGGGAAACAAACAAAACCCTTCAGAAAACCCACTTCAGCCCCAACCTTGAAAAGAAACCGCCGCTCGAAAAGGACGGGGGAGCAACACGCTCCAAGTGGGTGAACCCGCCTCATCCTGCGCCGCCTGCTGAGAGGCGGCGCTCGGCTTCTTGCGGAGCTCTGCACCTCCGCGACACACCCGACGCGGGCTCCTCGCCCCTCCGGAGGGTGGTCTCACCCAAAGCTTTCTCTTGATTCCTGACTGAGAATCTGCAAGTACGGGCTCTGGTTTGACGGTTTTCATGGGGCTTCTGCCCCAGTTGGCTTCAAAGGAAACTGGGACTGGGGTTCAAAGCCACAAACCACCAATCCAAATCACCAACTAAGGGTTGGTTGCCTAGAGTAAACCCGCTAAGTCAACGCTAGGAGGTAAATAGAACCCTACGCATTAAACATTGCAGAAGCGGGAGTTCTTTCGGTGTATGCTGTGGTCCTACTAGGACCTTCAATCTGAAATTGCTTGGGGCTTTTAAAGCTTACTCTTGCGGCTTGCTTAGTTGTGTCCCTTTATACCAGTTGAAGGCTGTTTTTGAAGGTGTCATTTTGATGGAGCCAAACCTACACAGCTTGGCTGCGAAGGGTGAAACGGCCGGCAAGTGCTTCCAAACAACAATTAAACAACAAGAACCCAAAGGAATAGAAAACACCTGGACAAATCACAGATCTCCCCTTTACAATGTTTCAAACGGGAGCAAACAAACCGAAGAGATCCGCAAACAACGGTCACCGCGCCTTCCACCTCGCGGCGAAAGACCTGCAAGGGCTCCTCCGCGCGCGTCTTTTCTTCGGATCGGCGGACGTCCAAGCACGGGGCCCCGGAACCGTTTTGATTTGGACCGTCCTGAACACACCGACACACCAACTAAACATCAAGCGCCCGGGGCAAAAAAAAACATCGTCGAAGTCCGGGGCCCTGGACCGTCCGAAGGAAAAAATGACAAAAAAACAAACAAAAAACCAGGTCCACTGCAGGTTTGTTGTTTGTGACATGCCAACTCGATGTCCCCAGCACCAACCTCAAGCACCCAAAAAGGGTGAGGTTCAAAGAATGCAAGAGGCAAATGCAAGCACCACTGTTGGACTCCAGCCTTTGAGGGCGGCAACCAAGGCCTCAATTTCGGGCTTTGGCACTTTCGATGTGCCCCGCTTTGATGAGCAACTGCAAGCCCCCAAGCAAAGCTGCCAAATCTGCTGTTCGCCTGAAGCAAGGGAAATGCTACCGGGGATGCTTTTTTGAAAGGGGGGCTCGACTTGTAACATGTTTACGCACCACTCCTTTTATCAAGCCTCCCTCATCCCTTCTAGCTGGAAATTATCTTCCTTTGTGCGCAGGAAATCCACCCCAGAAACGTTCCAAGCACGCTGAAAACCCAAGCTCAAGTGGTCAGCTCCACTTCCTGTCGATTTCAACCTTCGACCCGCCCAATTCCCAGGCTCCGCGAGCTGGTGGTAGGCCAGGTACTCCTGCCGAGCGCTGGGTTTCCCCCGGAAACGACACACCCGGTGGCTCACAAAACGGGCGGCCGTTGAAACACATCAAAGGGCTTTCCATCTTCCTTCCATTAAGGCTTGCTCAGCTTGCAAGTATTGAGCATCCCAATTAGAGGAAACCTATGCTTGTGAAACCCGATACCGTGTGGGATTCGAATCCATTCTGAGAATGTTATTGTTATTGTGACGGAAATTCCCACTTGGTGTCGCTTCCCCCCCCCTCCGCCCCGGCCTCGATCGCCCGGATGACGGACACCTGGCCGGCTGGTTTTCTGCAAAAGGAGATCCCTGGTTACTTGCCCGGCCAATGGCCTGGTGATATCCGGGGTTAATGCAGTCAACCCAGAGATTTTACCCACATACAGGCCGGCATGTGGTGGGAAACCTCAGCATTTACCACCCTACACTCCTCAGACCGCCCTGAAAGAACTTCACAAGTGTTATGAAGGCCATATGGACTTTTTGGGGCTAGGATGCCTGAAACATGTTCTGCAACCAGTCTAGACAACCTACCAGAACAACCCAAACTACCCCGGAAATACATCCCATTTCCTGGGGGGAGTGGTTTGGGACCCTTGAAACTGGGGGTCCGTTGGAAACAGTCCAAGACTTCGAGATGTCTTGTTCAACCAGAAACACATTTGTCAATCCACCTGCAAGATAAAAGGGTTTCCACGTGGCTATGAATTTAAAGAAAGAACCTCCTGGAAAGTGGTTGGTGGGCATAAAACCCCACATGACGTCAATCAGAGGGTCGCTAACTAAAATTTGTGCCCATAAACCCCACCTCAATGATGTCAGTCAGAGGGTCCCTACTTAAAATCTACGCCCACATCAGAAGCCGCCAATGCCCCGAATGGTCGGGTTGTCCGCTGTGTAAAACGGCACCCACTGTCACAACGCTCTGCGGCAACCTGAGAAAGCCTCTGTGGCAAACCATGGCCACTGGCATGCCCATGATTAAACCATGGCCAGGGGGCTTCTGCACTAATTGCTTTATACTCAGAATCCAATATCACAGAATCCCGGAGGAAAACAAAACAACTGTATCCTGTGAGAGCTCGTTGTACCTCCGGATCGGCGACCTCTTCAACTTGCTTGTGCGTAGCGCGCATCCATGTTGGCTTCCTTGAAAGGAACTGGGCGAGTCTGGTGATCCTCCTCAGCTTGCTGCCATGGCAGGGACGGGACATGAACCCCCAGGAAAGCCACCCTCATAAGGCGACCAATCCCACCGTGAGTTCGGTATGGCTTGCCTGGTATGGCAATCTCACCGAGCTCTGGCAAAAGGAGCCGCTCTTACTAGTCTCTCCACAGGGTCCCTGATTTACCCCAGCATCATCCCACCAAAAACAGAAACTGCTCTAACGTTCTCTCAGCTGGTCATGTTTAAGCCATCCTTCGCTGTAGACCCTTTCGTCTTCGTTGCCCTTGTATTTCGTTTGGTACAATTGGTGCAAATGGAACTGGGAACTCGTCCGATTCGATCAATCTCTGCACATGTTCCAAGCAAAACCAAAACCCCAAAACAAGGAGTTCCTGAGTCGGGCCACTAAAAGTCCAACTTTAAAAACCACACAAGTCCAAACTTTTAACACTTCCAGCTAAAATGGTCCAAACCCAAAAAGTGGCGAAGCTTGCTGGTGCTCAGCCGGGAATGTGGGAATGAACCCAGGCTTTGGTCCCTTTAAAGGAAACCACCAGTTGGGTGGTGTTTCTCGGGGTCATTTCAACTCTCATTCCCTGCCTCTCCAAGGAAAGTCCACTTACCGCTCTCATTTCTCCCCCGCACCGAGCGCAAAGTCCACCCGTCTGCCGCTAAAATTCGGTTCAAACCAACCAAAAGGCGCGGCCCTTCGCCGCCTCCTGCAGGCCCGCGCCCTGGTCCAAGGTGCCGAAGCAGGGCAGCGGCCCCTGGGGCCAGCGGCCGGTGGACGTCCACTCGCTGCGGGCGAGAAATTCTCAGGGGCCCTGAGAGGTTTTTGGAAGGACCCGAAAAGTTCCCCTAGAAATGTCCCGGAAAGTTGGAATGACCCCAAGAAAAACCATCCAAGTGCTGGTCTTTTGCCCTTGTACGGGGACCAAAGCCTGGGTTCATTCCCACATTCTCTGAGAAATTCCACCAGCAAGTTGGATGACACTCCCGAACGTGGAAGCTCCCAGAAAAGCTTCCAAAGGGCTTATGTTCGGATGTCAGTGGGAGGGAGGGCCACGCTCGTCGGGTTGGTTGAAAGCGAAAACCTATTTAAGGGAAAGGAACCATTTAAGGGTTTAGTGAAAGGGAAACCATTTAAGGGGACCTTTCTATTTTGACACGTACCCAAAGAACACTCTCTACTTAGTTCACTTTCAAGAGGTTCCCTTGGTATCACAGAGTGACCCGAAAACAAATGCTCCCCACAACCCCTGGCACTGGTGTACGCAACCAGGCCAAGTTCTATTTTTCTTGGTCAAAGCCCCACAACCTACATACATATTGTTGATCTGGAGTAAGCAACCAGGCCAAGTTTTTATCATCCTTGGTCAAAGCCATGCCAAACCCCCCACAACCTACATACGTGTGTTTGTTTTGTGAGTTTGCCTTTATCATCATATCTTGAAGGGCAATGCAAGATCTGGGCAGACTACTAAAGTTCGTCCCAAAGGGAAATCAAAAGGGCTTGTTGATTTTTTTCCAGGCCGACTCTTTAGCAGTCCACGCTCATTACCCTTTTAGACACACTAGTTTACGAGCTCCCGGATTTGGGGGTAAAGCCAGCTCACCCGGAACTCACGGCTGTCAATTCTATAGGAGTGTAAACACAAGAAGGTAGGGTTGTCGACTTGGCGCTTGCTTGCAGCATGTCCGGAGTTGAGCCTGAGAAAGCAAACCTCCTAGGTCGCATATCACCGAAAGCATCTCTCCGCATAAAAGAAATCCTCTCTTGCGACGGCATGTCACAGCTCCGTCCGATCGGACTTCGAGGGCAAGATGCGTGCCTCGTCTCCGACACGTCGAGATGCTCCGCCAGTATCCTATGTCATAGCTACCCGTCAGTGGCATCGGTGCAACTGCAATTGCCAGCTTGAAAAGGACGTTGACTAGGTCCTCCAATAGAGAGGTTAGAATAAGGGTGCGCTTTTTTCTGTAGTCTATTTTAGTAAGGGAACCCTCCCCCAAAAACAGAGATAAAAGGGCACTACTGGGGGACCTAGTTGAAACACTTTGAATTGCGTCTCGCGAACTTGGCAAAAGATGGGTAGGTGAGTAGAGCTGTTTTGATGCGGGTTGCCACTTGGGAAACTATGGTTTTGCTGCTTCCATGGCACTGGAGGGTGCCGATACAAGATGAACGTTGATGAACAAAAAGGGCCTCTTGAAAGCCAGATCAAACACCAATCCCTGCTGGGGTTTCCTGAGAAATCCAAGTGGCGCCGTTTCTCAAATCGAAAACCGGGACTTTTGCACTGGCCACTGGCCACTGTTTTGGTTCCCCTTTAGAACCATCCAAACGGCGGTTCCGAGGTGAAGAAGGCCCCCATGTGGTTGCTATGTCCGTTTCAGAGGCTCAGATCCCACCCATGTCGCTAGCACTACCTCATCGGCATGCGTCATAGGCCATGAGAGCTCAATGGCGGCGTGCGATGATCTGTGTCCATGTTGCTGGACTGCCCTCAGATCCCCCGCTAAAAGTTTAACTGGGTTAAATGGAAACTGCCACTAGACACTAAAAAGCTAGAAGGCTAAGGGGATGGCTGGGAGCCACCAAGGTTGGTTTCGCGAGTTGGATGATGCAGTTGAGGCTGGTTCAGTCCACTCGTCATGCATCTACCCCTACATGCAAGAGCAGGGTTGGCAGACACACCTGTTCTCATTAAACTTGTTGTCTACGAGAGGGAACATATGTACATATTTGTTGATTGCGCTTTTGTCTGTTCGCGGGAGCACAACAATTCGGTCTTCCCACATCCAGTTCAAATAGCTCCACAAAGGGTTGTGGGAATCAGGGGCAGTTTCAACATGCTTCGCCCACTCGCATGCTGCTTTAACAAGTGTCGGAATCAGGGGCTGGTTGCTCCTTGTGACACCAGAGATCCACTACCCCGCTTTGGGTGAAGAATGAGTCATTGGGAAGGGGCGCTTTTCCCCACCGCTCTCACAAAAGTGAAAGGTGTTTTCCCGCTCAGAGTGTGCTTCGCTCAGAGTGAAAGGTGCCTAAGTGGCGTGGCTGAGTGAATGGCTTGGCTGGCTGAGTTGGCTAAGTTGGCGAAGCTGATTCACGCCTTGGGCCACTGCGCAGCACTGCTTTCACTACGATCAGAAATCCGCAGCGACCACAAACTTGCCAGGTCGAGCTCGTGCATCCATGGTATCTCAACCTCATCCGAAGCCTTCAGGTGTCCATGTAGTTTCCCTTTCAATAACATATCAAGGTTTGTGTCAGAAGGGAGCCCAAATTGGGTGGTTTCCAGTAGGTTTCCCGAAAATAACCACCAGGAAGGGCTAAGCACAAGCCCGTGTGGATGCAAACAAATCGCTGTGGGGCGTTCTTGTGGACATCTTACACGGGGGATTGTCCTGATCCACCGACCATTGTTGGGTTCCGACTAGAATTCATAGCCGTTTCAGCAGACAGACCCGGGTAAATCTCTAACTGAAGGAAGTCTTAAGATGATTAGTTTCCTACCAACAGGGGTTCCCATGGGTGGCAGACCTTCCCAATGACTCATTGTCCTTTCAAGAAAAAGCCACCCTGGAACGCATCGCAGAAGTTCCCAAAACTACCCTGCTGTCAGCAGCTGTAAAGGCCAGCTCTAGCACAACTCCTGACCATCCAAAGCCCATCACCACGGACGCAACCCCTGTCGACGAGCGAACCAAGCTGCCTTCGCAAAAGCAGGCTTCAACATGTCTCAATACAAAGACAAGACGCCCGGGCGTCCATTTGCATTTTTCGAACCACTAAAGCAAAAGAGGGTTGTCCACTTCCCTTTGACACCAACATGAAACAATAGCAGATCACCAGTTTGGCCAACATAATTAATCAACACCTCTCTCATACTGCCTTGGCCTCGCTCACTGACTCGCTGTCAATACCCCTCCATGGAACCACCAGAGCCAAAACCTAAAACTTGGCATTAGAGGGCTCTACCCAAAACCCTAGACCCTAGTCAAGAATCATAAGAGCTTCTTGCAGAACTCAATGCCACTGTCCCACTACGAACCTTCGCTTACTTGGGTCTTGATAGTGGCTTACCGGAATGCTCTTTGCCCCAACTTGTCCGCCAGTTGTAGCTTGACACAGCTAGCTTAAGCGGGTGAGGAGAACTGCTCCCTTAAAAGGGGAGGGCACCGAAATGTTGGTTTTGTTCTGGTTTCCCTGCAAACCCCAACAGGTGTCACCCCCCCAATTTCAGGAAACACTCACACATCAGGCCGTACATGTTGATCTCGCTTTGTGTAATATCTGGCCAAACGGGCAGGTTGCCTCAAAATAGAGGTGTTTTGCCTTCGGCTTCCCTTTGACACAGGCCTAAAAATGGTACCCTCAAAAAACTGCACCATGGGCAAAACACGTACTGGCCATGGTCACGGTTCTCTCAATCTTAGGATCAGTGTTCTGTCCATGAAAAGCATCCCTACCAACTCCAAAGGGCCTTTAAGGGTAGCTTGCCCAAACATGCATTCTGCAGCATAATCAAACCCTGCAAACATAAGCTCTGAAACGCCCCTTGTTCCAACAGCCTCCTGGCTCCCCTTTAAAGGGAACCAGGCTCCTGGCGTTGAATATTTGGCCCACCTCAGCCCTCCTAGAACGCCTTAAGCTCTGGGATGGATGGTGTCTGCCTCAACTCGGCTCCCAGGAAAGTCCAACTGATTTTGAGCCCAAAAGTTGGATTTTCAGTGGACACCCGTCGGTAACTTAACCAGCTTTTGACGTGGGGAATCCAGTCACCACCGAGAAATCGAACTCTTTGGCGGAGTCATCGCTAATGGTGCGTCCTTAGGAACCGTATCTCGAAAATCGGAAAACTCAACCCTTGAACCTTACACCACCAACGCAAGAATTCCTGAAATTGGCGATGCAGGCAAGCAACACCCGCTGTTTCTCACGCAGGAGATTCCCTGTCTGCGCGAGCATTTCTCGCGCCGAGTTTTTCGGCTGCGCGTGCCAGGTTCACGCACATGCCTTTCTGAGCAGAAGGACGAAGAAGGATGCGGAAGGGAAGTGGATTTCTGGTTGGCCGAAATCTGGGGTCTACAGAAAATATGTTCCGTCTCAACTCTTTAGGGTCTGAACATATTTCACTCAACTGCTTTTTGTTCAGGCCCTTGTTGTCAACCCTAACTATAAAATCGCTTTGGAGGAGATTCCAGCGCTTCCCGTGACTCCGAAATGGGAATCCCATCTTAGGGCTATGGGAATCCTCCAAGCTGGGCGGTAAAACCCATTGGACATAATCCGTACGCATTGGGTGTGTGTTGTTGTTGAGGGTACCTAGGTCCTCCAGTAGAGAGGTTAGAATAAGGGTACCCTTTGTTTCTGTAGTCTACTTTAGTAGGGGAACCCTCCCCCAGAAAAGGGTAAAAGGGCACTACTGGGGGGCCTAGGTACCTTGTTTTGGCTGGTTCAACGGGACACCCAAAGGCAAACCACCATTTTGAGAGTCCACTAAAAAAAACGACACCCCCAAGTCTATGCTACTGTGGGCGAAATCCACTTTGGGAACCATGGCTCAAACCATGTCTGGTGTTTAAAACAATTCCGTCGGGGAATCGAAAAATTCCAAAATTTCTTAAGTGCCGAGGATCTCGTCCATCCACAGTACCAGAATGGGCATCTCCTCTCTTTCCAAACCTTCCATGACCTCGCTCAAGCCTTTGTGCCATGCCGGGACGCCAAGCGGAAGAGGCACGCGGAAGTCGGAGCGCGGCAAGATGGGCTTAGGGGAAATCCCCCGAAGGCTTCAGTTTGCCTCGTTCCCTTTCAAGCAACCCCAGAAGCGTGTCAAAGGGAAAAACAAGATTCAACCCTAAAAAGGTGGTTTGTCTTTGCTCATATTTCAAACAACTGGTACTGAGCCTGCAACCAAGACATCATCCAAACAAACCCACAACATAAAGATCGTGGCGTCCAGTTTGTAATGTTGGACCACAAGGCGTGTTTGTTTCCTATAGTTCAAGCCATATTTGCAGTAACCCACAACCTTAAATTGAAATTGTTTCATAAAGTATTGATTGTTCAATAGTCCAGTTTTGTGGGTGTTTGAGTACAAAAGATGCTTTTGCCCTGCTGTCTCTGGCAGAAGGTGGAGAGCTGCAAGTAAATCAGATTTCCGTTGTGATACCTTCCAGTTCAGCATATCAGTCTTACAACCAGCGTTTAACATATGAACATCAGCGCTAACTAGACCAGCACAAACAAATTCAGCATCTTACTCATCCAAAAAGATATATTCAACGTGAATTTTACACATGTCTTCCGCTTTTTGGGTCAATCTCTGGCCTGCGGCCTGCGGCCTGCCGCTGGCTCACAAGGATGCTCCATCTTCTCTCATGGGGGATGGGAGGGATGTGGGGAGGGAGCCCAAATAAGTCCTAAATGAGGCATTAATAAATGAAAAGGGCTTATTTGGGATCCCTCTCCCCAGTGTCCATGACTCTCTACTTGTTGGTCAACTGGCTTCGCTGCAAGTCTTGCCAATTCTAGTCAATGGTTTGTCTATGTGGGCTCAATAAGTAGAATATGTGTCATGAAATCGTTGATGTTGAACTTATCAGTTTTAAACATTACTTTATCAATATCAAGACCATCACTTGTGGTTTTATTTGAATTGCATGGTTCAATGTATATTTGGAAAATTGAGCTGATGTTAAGACCACTCTTGAACTACCAACTTGTGGACCTACCAACGTCATTCGCTCGATAAAACCTAGCATTAGTAACATGTTGTTTTTTCTACATTTGGTTCATTGCTTGCGGTCTTGACTGAACAATTGCACGGGATGCAACAACCTTGACACCAACTTAACTTGATGTACCGACAATTCCTTGCTAAACATCAAAGACATCTGTAGCGTATTCTAGGCTTACCCACCCATTGATTCTATACGTTCTGTTGCTTCGTTTTCGTTCTTGTATTTCTAGCTCTCGCTCTCTGCCTTGCGTGTCAAAAATGGGCGAATCCTGCTTTCTGCTGCCGTGCCAAAAGTTTAACTTTTAGTGGTTTATTGGAAAACCCATTAGTTGGCAAAAAGTTAAAGTCCTCACATCCCTTGGCAAAATGCCCCAAAGAAATGCTTGTCTTTCAATTCCTCTGAACATCAGTCAAACAGGCCAGCCACCCTCGAGAAGGAGGCCTAGCCGTCTCCACCACAGAGCTCGACTTGCAAGCGCTCTCCGACCCGAATGCCCCTTAGATCGAAAGCCACCATCTCATGAAACTCGTCGAGGCGCGGCTTGAACAGACGTGTCCCCAACAAGACAAAACCCCAAATCTGCTTCAGTTTTCGCTCACTTGAGCGGATTGGCCACACAACACTTGACAAGTTGTTTTGTGTGCCATGGTCTTCCCTACCAAAATGAAGTCCAGGAAGTCGGGGAGTGAGCTTCCTTGAGCCTCTCCCTTGAAACCTCAAGAAGGGTACCCTCACAGAGCATCAGCTGTGGGCTGGTCTAAACAAAGGGGAAACGCACACATCGGTCATGTCCCTTGAAAACCAAAAGGGACATGTGAAACAAACCACTGCGTCACGAGGAAGCATTTGTTTCACGGGCTTGCCTTTTGATGGAAATCAACACTTAATCCCGGTGTTTCCGAAAAACAATGTGTCGCGGCAAAGCAACGCGTAAGTAAAATTTGCTGTCCCAAAACACCCAACTTCGTCCCAAAACTACGCGGGGTCGTCATGTGTAACAGGCAGCAACTTTATCGTGGAGCTTCTTCGAGGGGAAAAACTCATGACGGTTGGAAACACGTGCCATGTCCAGTTGGCCAGACCTCGACGCCTCCAAAAAGTTAACTTGTCGCTTTCCGAAGGGGAAATGCTGGAGCACCGAAACGGCAACCAAAAAAACGAAAAGCATATCATCTAAGTCTGGCCAACGCAGTTGGGTCTCCAGCTGCTTCCCAACGAGCTTCGGCGAAGTGCCAGCACGGTCTCGCGGATCCCCGGCACTGTGGACTGGTTGCGTTGTCTCTAACATCTAGACAGGTGTTGCTAGAATCCCAATCAAAGGTAGTAGAAGCTCCTACTAGGATCGCCAAGGCGCTGCTCACAGTTCCCGGCAATGTCACCACAAACCCAAAACAAATACCTTCTTGTAATGTTGTTCTATCCCACAGATGTGGCTGATCCGTCTCCCTGCAAAAAGTGACCCAGTGTCCAGTGTTGCTCGAAAAACCGAAAACGATTGAAAACAGATCGGCAACAAGTTATCTAAGGGCTGCCGCCCTGTGCCGCCTGACTACGCGTTTTTTGTCGGGTTAAAAGAAGAGCACCACGATAAGGATCATGCTTTTGATGTTACAAGAAGTGCCCCCAGTGTGTGGAAACTTGGGCGGGAAAACCATGTTGGGGGCACTTTTTTTGTTCACAAGACTTCGTAAAGCGTGGACTTTGTGTCATCGCTTCGTCTTCGCGAGAAGCATCACCGACTGCGCATCCCCTGCATTTCCAGTCGGGTCCTGATTCTGATGATAATCATCACTACGCATCCCCAGCATCACCAGCTGACAATCACGAAATCCTCACTTTGCATGGGTGATGATCATCACTACACATCCCCAGCATCACCAGCAGTTACCTGATGATAATCATCACTATGCATCCCCAGCATGAGCATCAGTTATCATAACAAATAATGACTATGCATCACCTGCATTCCAAGTCAGGTCTAACGGCACACTTGAAACGTATATATGAAACAGAAGAATGCTGATGATCCGGATGCTGCGAACTCATCACCCAGCATCAATGTTGATGATAAACATCACGAAGACAAGGACGAATACAAACCCTTCCCATGCGCCTCCCCTTTGGAGAAAGGCCAACACCCCACTTGCCAGTCATGATCATCTCCATTATAACGTCGAGTCTTCAGCAAATCGAAAGAAACTGTGACATACTCTGAGCAAGCATACCCATGAGCATGCCAGGTTTGACCAGGTTCTCCTCGGCGAACGTTTGACGCGTAATTTGGCAAACTGTACATTTCCAAACGAACCAAAGAAGCCGCTACATCCATGGAGCATGTTCCCACGGCCTTGCTGTTCGCTCGGAAATGGCCAACTTCTTCCGGTGAAGACAAAATTAGAACAATTATCACATCATTCAAAGTCCACGAATCGCTTCGAGATACAAGTTCACGGGAGAAAAAGAGGAAAACAACCTTCGGCTCCCCGTTTGGGCACATTTAGTATGCCATATGGTGCAACTAGGTCGCACAGATCCAGACGAAATCCCGCTCAGATCGCAAGGCACTCGTCGAACTTCTTGTTCAGCTCTGCCCGGTCCAGGTTCTTTCCGATGAAGACCATCTTGCACTGCCTGCAGTTCGTGCAGTTCGTCTGGGCCAATTACCCATCCGATGCCTACCCCAGTGAGCCACAATCAAACCCCGATGAAGGCTAGTATGGGATACTCCCAACCAAAAATAGAAGTCTTTACATAGACCAAAATTAATACCGGGTGTTGATTAATGTTGACCCAGGATTTATAAACCCCAAACCCATGATTAGGGGAGTGTTCCCTCCAAAAGTGGCCTGAAGCCCCACTACAAGGGGACACCCCCTATTAATCAACCAGGGGTGTATTGATACGGGGTTAACATTACCCAGCACTATGATTCACGCAGCAAAGGTAAGGAAGATACCTGGCGGACCGTTGTACCATCATGGGTCTCTAAAGAAGAACATCTCCGAAAAGTAGAATAATTCCCAATCTAGAAACAAGGCATCCTGATGGCGAAGTCCGCAGTAAGCTCGATTTACGCCCAGGTGAGCTTGTGATAAGTTGTGCAAGTTTCATATCTAAATGGGTTCCGTAGCTCCTAAAGCTTTAGGGGTTCGCATCCCGTATTGAAAACTCTTTAGGCTTGCACTCAAGGGAAAACGGTAGCTCAAGATGGTCCTTACGCTTCCAGGAAGTCTCCTTGACACCTTCATTGCCGGCCGGCCAGCTGCAAGGAATCTCGGAGCTCAACCGTTGCAAAAACATCAGAGGAGCGAGGAGCGACTTTCCAAGGGAGCGTCAAGCCGGTAGCACGGTAGCACGGGGGGTTTGGTTGGACGGTCACCTCGTCTTTTCACCTTCGGAAGCTGCCCCTGGGCTTCGAAGTGTTCTCGGTCCAGAAATCCCCCCAGTCAGGCTCCATATGGCTCCATGTAGGGAATGGGACAATTTGCTTGGAAGGCTTGGCCTTGCAAACCAGATATGCTCCAAACGCGATTCAGAAAATCCGGTTTGGTCCGTGTAGGAGGCGGGCCGCTTGGTGGATGCTCGGCAAATCTCTGGCGTTGGTGTCTAGTTGGGGGACTGAGTTTTCAGGCCGCCTTCACACCAGCGCCATCTGGGGAAGGTCAACTTATGCGTTTCCGCTTAATCGAGTGGACGCCGGACGATTGGAGAGTCGATGGTGTGTCTGAAATTAAGTGAGTCCCCCAAATGCACCACAGACTATAGAAACTTTGAGCAAACCTCATATACCGTCACTATGAAAACAAAAGCCACAATCATCGGCGAAGTCGCAGATGTGAGCTTGCTATCAGCGCGGGAGCATCAAATAGGGTCCCTTACATGTTCTGTTTCAACATCACCACAATCAAAGGAGACGCCCTGTCTCAACTTGTCGCAAAGGGTGATGCTCAAACCGCCCCAAAAGAAACATATGTTGGACCTCTGAGTCACCTGGGGGGCAACGTCCTCGACATAGATTCGGACCCCTCTCGGAACCTGAAAATTCCTTCCTTGCCCCAGCGGACGAGACCGGACGCGGACGAATTCGAGCGCCTCTTCTCGCCTTCGCTCCAGGCGTCTTGCGGCCGCCCGCTGAACCTCGCGAGCTGCCCGAGAGCGGAAGAAACCCTCCGGACTCCCCGTCTCAGGGATGCTTCTCCTTGAACGGCCCTGGCTTGCCGGTTCTGACACAAAGGCTGTGTGATTTTGGAGGGCACCCTTGTCACATTGCGGTACAGGAAAGCCAAAAGAAAAAGCACGACTTTGGGGGGTTTGCACATTGACACGTGCCCAGAAGGAGGGGCAAACAGCAAAAGCGGAATCAACCCTCAGCCAGAGCCAGCGACCTGAATGAGGCTCATTGGTCGAGCTGAGCCAAAAGAAAAGCAACCAAACGCATCCATGGGAGCAACTCGCACTGGCGCCACGATCTGGATTGGGTCAACCAAAGAGATAAAATGACTGCTAAACAAATCAACAGCTAAGCTCCAAAGTGCACCAGCTCGAAGGCGCCGGCAACGAAAGAGACCGGGTTTGCACCGTGTTGAGGCTCGTCAAGTCACACAAGTTGCGTGCCAAGGGAAAACCTTCGTGTTGATTTGTCGCCATCTGCTCATCCCCAAAAGCTAGCCAAGGGCAAGCCCACGGCGACGGCTTTGGTCCATCAGATTTCGTAGACCTATGCAGCACATGATGGGGCTGAGCCAGTTCCAAAAGAGACGAGTATTTTCCGAGTAGGTTGGAGAGTACGTTGAAACCAACATGTAACCAAGTGTTCGGTAAATTACCACAATTCCCAAAACAGAAACAATATCCGCAAGGAAGGGAGCGCGCCATGCACTTTTGTCCAGAATCATTCAGTGATAATCCTAGTTTGCTCAGTGACGTCAAAAAGGGGAACCCGTTTGCGCTTTTTCGGGCTTCACCATGTTTAGTGGAGGACCCAGCAAGCAAAAAGTGGACAAGGGTGCCAACAACTGGGCAATATGAAATGATAAACCCCACCAGCGGCCATGTGAATTTCGGGCACTTGTTTGGGAAGGAATGAGATGAATTTCGAGCGCCATCGGTCTGGAAAATCATCAGCCTCACTCTGACCCTATGAAACCGAGTAGAACCGCTGGCTTCATCTGACAGCTGTGAGGGGTGCCCGAAACTTCCCCTATCACCCCACAAGCATCACTTTGAATTGGATGGTCAAAAATCCCAACGGGGATACAGGGGGTTGCTCAACAGGTCCTTACACTGTTGGGGGGAAACCACTAAAAAGATGATATTTCCCACATGGGACAAGTAACCCAACGAAATACTGGGAACCCACTCGGTGCGAATCTATCGAATCGAGGCGCTGCATGTGCACCGCGTGGAAGACGAACTTCTGAGACATGCCTCGCACAGCGAGCACCTCGAGTGATGGATGCGGCGTGGCTATGAAATTCGGAACACCCTCAAAAGTGAGTGGCCATCAATCTCCCCTCATTAAATGCTTCTACTTTGGGACGCCATTTGGGCGGTGCCCTTTTCATCTTTGGCTTCCAAGATTTGTGTGGGTCTGTTGACATGTCGTGTGGCTGTTTCCAAGGGACATGCGGGTTCATTCGGATGGATTGCTAGAAATTGGATGGGTAAAGGTAGAACAAAGGGAAAACCCTACGATGAAACGCTGATGGGACACCACAGAAAACCATTGAGGTTCTACCAGTTTGGATTAAGCACTGTCAAAGCCGGTCTGTGAGATCGAAACACAACCTGCCCTGATATGGAAGCAGCCAAAAACACAACAAGTTCACACGCGGCGGGAAAGAGCACATGAAATTGCCCCAGGATTACTAAGCAGCTAGCTGATGAATAATTAGGGGGATCCATGCAAGAGGGGATCCTTCACTTTAGCCGACAGGATCAACGCGGGGTCGACAATCGCTTCCCCCTCAAAAAGAAAGTCTAAAAAAGCAAATCTCCGCCGATCCCAGCTCCAATTCTATTCGGGGACACCGCTCCCAGGCGAAATCAGTAGCACAAAGGGGGGGGTATTTATTCAGGGCAACCAATTGCTGTATTACATAGAGATCACCATCATGTGTGTCCTTTGTGGAAAATGGATGGCCCTGGTAGATGATTGAACCACCAGGTAAACCAGGGCCTTTTTCAAACAAAACCAACCAAAAGGGGACACCTATGATCACCATACATAGAGCCAACAACCTGTTTTGCCTCAAAGCTACATGCGCGCGTCAGGGTGAAGCCATGCTTTTCTTTTGGGGCTCCAGTTGGCCGAAACACCCAGCTTGGCCGCAGTGGCCCGCAAAGGCGAAGAGGGAGCCATCAGGAATGGAGCTGAGCATCGGGAAAACCGCAAGAACAATTCTCCCAAGGATCACATGGGCAAAAAAACCACCACCCCTTCACTCTTTGCAAGCCCAACCCCAGCCAGGCCCCCCTTTTCCTGGGACCCTCTGGGCTCCGGGGCCCCTTTGGAGCGGTACAGATCAGGGCCCTTGGTCTGCACCAACCAACTGATGAAGGCGTCCAACCTCGGAGATCGGACGCTTCTCAAGCCCCTGGATGGTTTACAACACATTGGGATCATCCCAATATCACATTTCAAGACTAGAGCCACCCTCAAACAGGGCCAACGGGGGGGGGAACAGATTGGGAGAGTGGGATGATCTCGAAATTCGCCTAGTGGGTTCAACTTGGCGAGTTGAAGCACCAAGCATCCCAAGATCCCATTCTCCCAACTATTCAAAGGGGCTGGAGCCAGCTCTGGGGGAGGGCATTGCTGGTTCGATCGACTGGCAACGAGCCCGGGATCGAGAGCATTGAACCCCGTGTTGCAGAGCGGCTTCTTTCCGCGAGCGTCTTGACCATCCCTTGCTTCCTGGACTTCAATTGCTTCGTTTCCGCACCCCAGTTGATTCCCGAACCAAGTTGAAAAGGAGCCGGCAATTGGCTTCAGCGGAGCGCCTCAAGTCTTGGCATTGCGACGAACCGGACATGGGGCTGCCCCCAACCTGGGATCGAGCCTTCATAGAAGGCTTCGCGTCAACAAAAATACCTTCGGACCAATGAATTCGCAGCTTGACGCCAGCAAGCAGGTTGGTTTGACCCCAAAGTGGAACATGTGTGGTCAAAGGGTCTTAAAAGGGATTTCCACAGGTGGAGTCAGGATTCAAGGGACCTCTTTCCCGCAAAGCCCCAGAGCCCAGAACTCCGAAGCCCAACCGGGGCAAAGACCCGCCAGCTTGCTGGGGGGAAAACGGCTAGGCTTCTTTCTCGCTTCTTTCGTTGGAGAGTGGTCAGTTTCCCCCCCCCAGGCCATTGGCCAACAAGAGCACCACGAAGGGCTCCGCTTCCGGGGCCCAGGCTTCTCCTTCAGAACCTCCTGGTCCCTCTGGATGCCAACGGAGCTCACCTCGGTGTGGGCGAAGGATCCCTGGCTGGTTGGAGCCAAGGACCTCAAATCACTTCAGCTGGCCTGGGGAGTTGTGACCATCCCCAACAGCAAGTGGGTAGCTCAAAATGGAGGGACCTCAAAAAAGCACGGTTCGCCAGTGGCTTAGTTGGTCAGTTGTCGGGGGTTAGGCTGGTTGACCCAAACACGCCCAACCACCAGCCCAACCACCAGCCCAACCACCGGCCCAGTCCAGCCCAAGAAACCCTCCTGCCTTTTGAACATACCAGGCCCAGCGCGCCCATCCACCGTAGCCTACCCCGTCCATCAGGATGCCTAAGGGGTGCCGGGGTATGCTCACAAGGTGCGTTGGAGGGTCCTTGGATGAACGGTCCGTACAACCGCCCACTGAATAAAGCCAAAGAACCTACAAACTGCAGTTGAGCAAGTCTTCGCTCCAACTCCGCCGGCTTCCCCTACAAGAGGGTGTGTGTTCTGATCGTTGAGAAATAGCACCCCAGTGTCAGAGAAAGAAACGCCCAAACAGAACACTGGCAAGACTCACAGGCGAACAGGTAAGGGCGCTTTCTACTGTCACGTTCCGATTCGTTGCCGGCAGCAAGCCTAGCGAGTCCGATGTCTATCTTGTTCCGGCTGAGAACCCGAAGAAAACACCTCAATCATCTGCACTAGTGAGTCAAAGGAGCTTTACACAAGGAAACCAAAAGGGCCAGGCCTCCATGACCAGGGACAAAGGAAAGCGATTTGCATGTTCTTTTTTCTGCGACCGGGAAAGACGAAAGAAAAACCACGGCAGGTCTGGAACATAGACAGCATGGAAACCCCGAGAAACAAACAAGGACCTCAGCTTTTGCCTGCTTAACCCAAAGCAACATCTTTGATCTGGAAGAATCATCCCGCTGATCTTGATCTGTTATTTCTTCGAGAGCCAAACGGAGCACTTTTGAGGCCCAAATATCCGCACGGCGGAATCCGGGCCCAGTGCCTCCAGTTGCCACTGTAGTGTGCTGGATATTTGTTCACATTGACTATTTAGATGATTTCCCCTGGCTACCTCTAGTGGTAGCAGCTGCACTGGGGGGGGGGGAAATTTCCGCGGATCCGCGGATCCGCTGGCTTCGATCGGGACCTCTGGGGCCGCTGGCCCGGTAGTCGTGGCGCTTGTGGGACTGGTGCTCGCAAGCCTCGTCCGCGCAGCTGTGCTCGTGGCCGCCCTGCGCCAGAAATCCCTGAACCATCTTTGATCCAAGTCCGTTTCTTCCATCGGCCCCAAGACCATTTTTTGGGGGTGGGCCATCCAATAAGCACCATATACAGTGATATAAAGTCAGTGCATAGATCTTTTGGGTCTGGCTCAAAATTTAAAGAGGTATAGTGTCACGCAGGTGTTAGTCTGTTTCCATTCACCGGGGTTCCACTTTGGGTACCCCTTTTTGACCCACAGCCACTTCTTCTGCCGGCCGAAGAGGAAAATTGGGGGGGGGGAGTCCAGCATATAAGCACCATACACAGTGCTGTACAGCGCATAGATCTCAGTTTCCGTTGGGGGTCGTGGTTTGGGGGAAGTGGACATCTACAATTTGCAGCACGCTCTCGGGCGATGGGTCGTTTTATTCCGTCGCATTGGGGTGGTGCTTACAAGGCGAACTGTTTGGTTCAGGGTGGGGCCGGCCGACTGCTTCATCATGTAAAAATGCCTATTGGTCGCAGAAACGTCCGTGTTGGAAAAATGCTGTACCAGGTGAAACCACGGGTGGTATAGAAACATGGCAGACCATGGACATCGAACTGTCTCGGGTCATATGATTTCTTGTTTGGCTTACCTTGAAAGGTACCAGGACCTGGCTGCTTAAACATAGGTTGCCCCACTGGGATTTGGTTCCTGGTAAATGAGTCTTGGGGGTCAAACGACCTGACCTGGGCCTACAGATTGGACACACCAGGCGCGCATTTCTGTCCCTTGGCCTGCCTGCATCTCCTCAGCCAGGTGTTCCATCATAATGACCCCAGCAAACGGATGTCCATTTCGAGGTATGTCAGAACGCAAGCTGCCGAAAACACACATGTCAAGGAACAAGTTTGGCTGCGACATGGTTTGGGTGTATTTGAGGTTGGGGTTGACAACCCCCAATCCCCCTCCCAAACAAACAAAAACAAACAACAAAACAGAGTTATGTTGTTATGCCCCCATCTACAACAAAACAGAGCTGGCCAAGTGTCTGAGCATGTTTGATGGACTCCCTCTTGGCGTAGTATGCCTGAAGGAAATACAAAAGTCCCCCCAAAACAGGGTTCCCTTTAAACATCCCCCTGCCAAAAAAAACCCTCACTTCAAATTGGACCAAGGTGTAAAATGCAAAACACACTCCGGTGGACCGATTCACCCCTAGAGTGGGCAAGGACGTTTGCCTCTTGAGCGGAGTTCCCTTCCTCCCCTGGAAAGAAACTGTTTCTTTTTCCCCAATTCCCCACATCTTTGTGTGGGGTTCTTACTTTTTCCGCTCGTCGTCCGCGCGCCGCGTCTCCTTCTCCTTCTCCCGCTCGTCTCCGTCTCACTCACTCACTCACTCACTCACTCACTCACTCACTCACTCACTCACTCACTCACTCACTCACTCACACTCACTCACTCACACTCACTCACTCACACTCACTCACACTCACTCACTCACTCACTCACTCACTCACTCACTCACTCACTCACTCACTCACTCACTCACTCACTCACTCACTCACTCACTCACTCACACGCTCACTCACACTCACTCACTCACTCCATCGCTCACTCACTCACGACTCACGGCAGCTGTCTAGAGGGACAGGATGTTGTCGCGCGCGCGGCGGGGGGTGTGCGAAATCGTGGCAGGCGCAGCACTTTGGCGATGCCGTTGCGAAATCGTGGCAGGCGCAGCACTTTGGCGATGCCGTTGCCGAAGTCGTGGCAGGCGCAGCATTCTGTGCATCTGGGTGTGTGTTTGTGTGGCAGGGGTCGCATTCGGCAGCTGTCTAGAGGGACAGGATGTTGTCGCGCGCGCGGCGGGGGGTGTGCGAAATCGTGGCAGGCGCAGCACTTTGGCGATGCCGTTGCGAAATCGTGGCAGGCGCAGCACTTTGGCGATGCCGTTGCCGAAGTCGTGGCAGGCGCAGCATCTGTGCATCTGCGCGTGTGTGTCGGCGCAGGGGTCGCATTCGGCAGCTGTCTAGAGGGACAGGATGTTGTCGCGCGCGCGGCGGGGGGTGTGCGAAATCGTGGCAGGCGCAGCACTTTGGCGATGCCGTTGCGAAATCGTGGCAGGCGCAGCACTTTGGCGATGCCGTTGCCGAAGTCGTGGCAGGCGCAGCATTCTGTGCATCTGGGTGTGTGTTTGTGTGGCAGGGGTCGCATTCGGCAGCTGTCTAGAGGGACAGGATGTTGTCGCGCGCGCGGCGGGGGGCGTGCGAAATCGTGGCAGGCGCAGCACTTTGGCGATGCCGTTGCGAAATCGTGGCAGGCGCAGCACTTTGGCGATGCCGTTGCCGAAGTCGTGGCAGGCGCAGCATTCTGTGCATCTGGGTGTGTGTTTGTGTGGCAGGGGTCGCATTCGGCAGCTGTCTAGAGGGACAGGATGTTGTCGCGCGCGCGGCGGGGGGTGTGCGAAATCGTGGCAGGCGCAGCACTTTGGCGATGCCGTTGCGAAATCGTGGCAGGCGCAGCACTTTGGCGATGCCGTTGCCGAAGTCGTGGCAGGCGCAGCATTCTGTGCATCTGGGTGTGTGTTTGTGTGGCAGGGGTCGCATTCGGCAGCTGTCTAGAGGGACAGGATGTTGTCGCGCGCGCGGCGGGGGGCGTGCGAAATCGTGGCAGGCGCAGCACTTTGGCGATGCCGTTGCGAAATCGTGGCAGGCGCAGCACTTTGGCGATGCCGTTGCCGAAGTCGTGGCAGGCGCAGCATTCTGTGCATCTGGGTGTGTGTTTGTGTGGCAGGGGTCGCATTCGGCAGCTGTCTAGAGGGACAGGATGTTGTCGCGCGCGCGGCGGGGGGTGTGCGAAATCGTGGCAGGCGCAGCACTTTGGCGATGCCGTTGCGAAATCGTGGCAGGCGCAGCACTTTGGCGATGCCGTTGCCGAAGTCGTGGCAGGCGCAGCATTCTGTGCATCTGGGTGTGTGTTTGTGTGGCAGGGGTCGCATTCGGCAGCTGTCTAGAGGGACAGGATGTTGTCGCGCGCGCGGCGGGGGGCGTGCGAAATCGTGGCAGGCGCAGCACTTTGGCGATGCCGTTGCGAAATCGTGGCAGGCGCAGCACTTTGGCGATGCCGTTGCCGAAGTCGTGGCAGGCGCAGCATTCTGTGCATCTGGGTGTGTGTTTGTGTGGCAGGGGTCGCATTCGGCAGCTGTCTAGAGGGACAGGATGTTGTCGCGCGCGCGGCGGGGGGTGTGCGAAATCGTGGCAGGCGCAGCACTTTGGCGATGCCGTTGCGAAATCGTGGCAGGCGCAGCACTTTGGCGATGCCGTTGCCGAAGTCGTGGCAGGCGCTGCATTCTGTGCATCTGGGTGCTCTGTAATCGCATCCATACAAGGGGCGCACGGTACATGTGTGTGGACATTTGAACTCACATCCTTGGGAAAAACATAGCATGTGGGGTTATCCGGTCCTTTAATTCTTTCAGGTCACCTCTTTTTTTCGGGGAGTAAAAACCTCCATCCGCAATTTCTTTCGACTCCCTGCGCTCCTCGTGGCCGTGGTTGTCGTGGCCGTGGCTGTCGTGGCCATGGCCTTCGTGGCCTTCGTGGCCTCCATGGCCGCCGTGGCCTCCGTGGCCGCCGTGGCCTCGGGTTTCCGGGAGGTCGTTTGTTGACGGAGGTTAACCAGACAAATCACTGGTGGGGTGGGGTGGGGGTGGGGGTGGGGGTGGGGTGGGGTGGGGTGGGGGGTGGGGGTGGGGTGAGGTGGGGTGGGGTGGGGGGTGGGGTGGGGGGTGGGGTGGGGTGGGGTGGGGTGGGGTGGGGTGGGGTGGGGTGGGGTGGGGTGGGGTGGGGGGTGGGGTGGGGTGGGGTGGGGTGTGGGGTGGGGTGGGGTGGGGTGGGGGTGGGGTGGGAGGTGGGGTGGGGTGGGGTGGTATTCGCCCCGCCTTCCGCTCGCAGGTCGCGTCGTAGAGCTCTGCCTCCACGAAGCCCTCCGCTGCCCAGTCCCGCAGCCACGTCCCGCTCGTGTCCTCGGGCAGGATCCGGCGTCCTTGTCGCCATTCTTTTCGTCCCAAGCGCAACAGAAGGCCAGCGGCCGCGCGGGGCTGTCCTGCAAGCTGGGTTTAGCACCTGAAAGTTTGAACTTAGAAACGGCTGCCGAACCTGCCTTTCCAATCCGCAGCTCAATTGCTTGTCGGCCCTGCAAGCATCGGTCTTCGCTTGGACTTCCTTCAACTGGCTGTGTCTATTTGGGTCTGGTGGTGTGGGGGTGGAGATAGGGTGGAGGGTGGGGTGAAGTGGGGTGGGGTGGAGGTGGGGGGTGGGTGGGGTGGGGTGGGGTGTGGGGTGGGGTGGGGTGGGGTGGGGTGGGGGTGGGGTGGGAGGTGGGGTGGGGTGGGGTGGTATTCGCCCGCCTTCCGCTCGCAGGTCGCGTCGTAGAGCTCTGCCTCCACGAAGCCCTCCGCTGCCCAGTCCCGCAGCCACGTCCCGCTCGTGTCCTCGGGCAGGATCCGGCGTCCTTGTCGCCATTCTTTTCGTCCCAAGCGCAACAGAAGGCCAGCGGCCGCGCGGGGCTGTCCTGCAAGCTGGGTTTAGCACCTCAAAGTTTGAACTTAGAAACGGCTGCCGAACCTGCCTTTCCAATCCGCAGCTCAATTGCTTGTCGGCCCTGCAAGCATCGGTCTTCGCTTCGACTTCCTTCAACTGGCTGTGTCTATTTGGGTCTGGTGGTGTGGGGGTGGAGATAGGGTGGAGGGTGGGGTGAAGTGGGGTGGGGTGGAGGTGGGGGGTGGTGGGGGTGGGGTGGGAGGTGGGGTGGGGTGGGGTGGTATTCGCCCCGCCTTCCGCTCGCAGGTCGCGTCGTAGAGCTCTGCCTCCACGAAGCCCTCCGCTGCCCAGTCCCGCAGCCACGTCCCGCTCGTGTCCTCGGGCAGGATCTCGGCGGGCGCCTTGTCGGCGTCCTTGTCGCCATTCTTTTCGTCCCAGCAGAATAGAAGGCCATTGGTCGCGCGGAGCTGTCCTGCAAGCTTGGTTTAACACCTCAAAGATTGAACTTAGAAACGGCTGCCGAACTCGCTTGCTTCGCGCCAGCCTGGCCTTTCCAATCCGCAACTCAATCGCTTGTCGGCCCTGCAAGCATCGGTCTTCGCTTCGACTTCCTTCAACTGGCTGTGTCTATTTGGGTCTGGCGGGGTGGAGGTGGGGTGGAGCTGGGGTGGTGGGGTGTGGGTTGGGGTGGGTGGGGTGGGGTGGTGGGGTGAGGTGGGGTGGGGTGGGGTGGGTGGAGGTGGGGGGGGCGTGCAGGATCACTATTCGGATTCGAGGGGGGGAAAGGCATTCGAGCCGGCTGCGAGTATTCGCCCCTCTGCCTCCACGAAGCCCTCCGCTGCCCCCCGCCACTTCCAAGTCTCGCCACTCGCCTCCCACAGCCACGTCCCGCTCGTGTCTTTGGGCAGGATCTCGGCGGGCGCCTTGTCGGCGTCCTTGTCGCCATTCTTTTCGTCCCAACAGAATAGAAGGCCATTGGTCGCGCGGGGCTGTCCTGCAAGCTGGGTTTAACACCTCAAAGATTGAACTTAGAAACGGCTGCCGAACTCGCTTGCTTCGCGCCAGCCTGGCCTTTCCAATCGGCAACTCAATCGCTTGTCGGCCCTGCAAGCATCGGTCTTCGCTTCGACTTCCTTCAACTGGCTGTGTCTATTTGGGTCTGGTGGTGGGGTGGGGTGAGGTGGGGTGGGGTGGAGGTGGGGTGGGGTGGGTGGGGTGGGGTGGAGGTGGGGTGGGTGGGGCGGGGTGTGGAGGTGGGGGGGTGGGGTGGGTGGGGTGGGGTGGGGTGGGGTGGGGTGGGGGGTGGGGTGGGGTGGGGTGGGGTGGAGGTGGGGTGGGGTGGGGTGAGGTGGGGGGGGTGAGGTGGGGGTGGGGTGGGGTGACGTGGGGTGGAGGTGGGGTGGGGTGGGGTGGGGTGGGGTGGAGGTGGGGTGGGGTGGGGTGGGGGTGGGGTGGAGGGGGTGGGGTGAGGTGGGGTGGGGAGGAGGTCGGGTGGGGTGGGGTATGGTGGTGGGGGTGGGGTAGGGTGAAGTGGGGTGGGGTGAGGTGGGGTGGGGTGGAGGTGGGGTGGGGTGGAGGTGGGGTGGGGTGAGGTGGAGGTGGGGTGGGGGCCACCAAGAACGGCTATGCACCACCCACAGACAAATGGCCATGGGTCAGAAGCCAAATCGTACCAGTGAACATCCCAATCCAACCACTAAAATAGGTCCTAAAAAGGGTGGTGAATTCACCTGCCCCACAATGGGATCCCAAAACGGTATTGACCACAGCCAAATCACTCCAACTAAGAACGGCCATGCACCACCACCCATGGAATCAAGAAGGAGCTATATCAATCTGTCAATGGGTGGACCTGTGGCTCAGAGCTGGGGGCAACCCTGGGGTTGGCGGCCGATTTCTTTTGGGTGGAAACCAAAGGGAACTGCGGCCGATCTTTGGGGCGAGACCAACGGGGACTGCGGCCTTTTTTTGGGGGGACACCCAAAAACAGCTCGCCAGTTTGAGATGCTGTTTTGGGGAGCGTGTCTTGGAGGGAAACAACAACAAAGAACGCTTTTTTTGGCTGCTTGGACGGGAAACCTACCAAGCAACTCGCTGTCCCATGTGTTCTTTTCGGTGCTACCGAAAGGGAAACAAACCAAATAGACATCCCCTCACGTTAACGCAAAGTGAGCTGTGGCTCGCCTTACGTGAGCTCGTTGTATCTGCATGCCAACCGTGACATTTGAGCAGCCCCCAAAAAAAACGCCTAGGACATCCAGCCATCTTGAACATCGCCGGGGATACCAAAACCCCTTGGTTCTACGAAATCGGCAAACAAAAACGGCTACATAGTCCTTACTCTCCAAATTCAGCCAGGTACTTACCGAAGGGTAAACTTGCCGACAATGTGCAACCTTGTTGGCTACCACGAAAAGCGGCCTTCCGAAATTATAGATTCAAGGGTTACCGGTTTGGGGCCCAAAAGGAAACAACAAACCGTCCAAGTGCGCTGCTCGCACATTTTCACGCTTGAACAGCCACACTGCGGATGCAACGGATGTAAAACCCCAAACTGACCGATCAAATTCTTCACCCCCCTCTGCGTGTTAAAGGGGCCTTTCACAAAGCAGCCAAACAGAAACACAACAGAGGGAGAAGGTCATGGGGAACCGTTGTATACATGCAAACCATGACAGTTGCGCTTTTAGCGCCACTGCCAAGTAGATTGGTAACCGCTGCTGTCATTCCATCCTCCCCAACCGGACCAGTTCTGCCAGCTGCCTTGGCTCCAATGCTCACCCTCGCGGGCGGCGGGAGCACTTTGATCGGCATAGCGAGCGGCATTGCGAGCGAGGTGCTTGGTGCTCTCGTTCTTTGAAAACTCAACTGAGTTTCGGGCATAACGCTCGTTCTGGCTGAATATCCAGTCCATTTCGTGGCGGAGGTCCTCGAGGGAATTGCTTCGCAAATGGATGATGCCATTCCAACATCCAATGCTGCGAGGCTTGTCCTGCTCGGAGACAACATTCACAAAAGCCCGTGGACTGTATGGCATTCCCTGAAACATGATGATCCAACGGGAACTGAGTGCATCCTGCAATTCGCTGGGCAAAAACTCCACCTCCGTCTTTATGTACGCGAGCCTTGCGATTCGCGACTCAGAAGTTGATCCAAGGCCAACTCCAAGAGTGCGCTGGGCTTGCGACTGCTTTGGAGCAGCCAAGACGAGGTTTGCACACAACTCCATGCGGAGTATATCCGCATCCCGACGGCCCACTTCAAGCATACGAACCCTGTATTGAAGGTCGAGTTCATAGCGATCAAGTAGAGAGTGGTAGCCGTTCTTCAGGGCGGACTTGTGCTTCTTCCGGGCCTCCTGAATGACAGCACTGTCCGGGGAGTTCAGGCCACGAAGGATGCTACTCCGATCCTCCTCGCGGAGGTCAAAAGTTCCCACGGATGCCAAAACCTGGGCTGTGACATGGGTGCTGAGGCCCATCTTCTTCAGCAAATTGGAACGCTGCACAAGGTAATTCTTTTGCTGCTCTTTCAACAGGCGAGGATTGAGGGGTGACAACTGCCCACATGATGTGCAGTGGACCTGCCCCTCGAACACACTGTTGTTGCAAACCGGGCACGTGGCGACATTCAGCTCAACGTTCTCCATTGGATTGAAAGTCTTCTGTCTCTTCGCTTCCCCTTGCGGGGCGCGAGGAGACGCCACATTGGTGCGGGTTGTTGCAATGCGCTCCAGTGCTGTGGACCGATCATCAACCACGGCTTGGTCGCGCTTCATCCCCTGGGGTTCATCCTCAGTCGCCTCAGCTGGTGCACCTGCATCCGATTGCTCGGAGCGAGTGTACCATACATCGCCATTTGTAGCGTCCAATACAGAAATAATCGTGTAGTTGGGCACCTTGTCGCGCGTGAGGACGCCATCGCTCTCTGTCTTGAAAAAGCAAAGCCCTGCGCGAATGGCCATCCTGAGGTCGATCTGTATTTCCAAGGGCTTGTTAGCGCGTACACCTGAGATGTAATTTTCGTTCGTGCTCGGAATGTCAGCGAAGAAAACGTGAGGTCTGCCTGTCTCGTGCTGGTCACCTCCTCCTGGAAGCA